TCTGCCAGCCCCTAGTCCATGCAACTGTACAAGCCACTCTTTGACAGACCAATATACAAATTACACATTATGCAGTTATTGTCTTAAAAAAGCCCATGAACAGGTATCTGTGAGCTATATTTTAAGATCATTTAAGTTTCCAAAGAGGAACAGATTTACAGTCCTCTCTGTTTGGCAGTGTCATAAAACACCACTCTGCCAGTTGTGAACCTTTGGGTGAGATTTCTGCCTGACCTCAGCTGTGGATCAGTTCCAACCCAGAGCAAGGAGGATTGGATATAGCCTTGTTGCACTCCCTGAAGCACAGTTCATCTTCTCCACACCAAACTGTGTGTATGGAGCACCTTCCAAAACAGAGAGGGCTGCATTTCCAAAACTAAATAGGCTCCCTCAATGGGAGGTAAGAGTGTCCTTGAATTAAAACCACAGATTCCCAAAGCACTTCGTCTTGTATGAGCAAAAAGCTCTTTATGCAAATATTTGTGAAGGCTCCAAAGGTCTCTCAAAGCAGTTAGTATAATGCCTAGCTGTTATTTTGTACATCTAGGGGAGGGAAGTGAAGAAAAGCTGGTGGCTAGAGCACTTCTAAGAGCAAGCAGTCTTCACCGCCAGTGGTATGAGAGGTCCCTTCAGTGTAGTTCAGCTGGATCCACTTTCTGTAAGTGAAGGACTGGATGGCACACCTGCACACACCATGCTCTCATACAGTGTAAGAGGAAATGCCATACCCATCTGGCTGGCTTGGTTCCTGTTGCCACCAGTTCAAGGCATGTTGCAAGCATTAGCATGGTTCTATCTCTGGCATCAGATAGTAACAACTCAAGAAGCAATGCTGCCATCACAAAACAATATTAACAATGATTAAAAAATGCCAACTGTTGCTCCTTCCACTTGCCACTTGGCACTCCTGTTGTTCTGGAGGTTTTCAAGAAATGTGTAGATGTGGCATTGAGGGATGTGGTTTAGTGGGTATGGTGGGGATGGGTCAAAAGTTGGTTTGGATGATCTTAGCGGTCCTTTTCAACCTAAATGATTCTATGATTCTTCACAAAACCAAAGCAGGTAGAATATAAAAATCAGACAATGTGCAAGAACCAGAAAGCACTTAAGATGACTACATCCATCAACTCCATTCATGCCATCCCAGCAAGAGAAAGAGGGAGCATGAGACCAGATCCTGCCTGAATTTTAACTTCAGCAGACCTAAGCAGATAATAATTGTTTCAGATGAATACCCTTGGAGAAGAGGCAGAGAATCCCAAATCATTCTCTGATTTCAACTTTCAATTTACCCAGCCAGTGCTAAGCTCATTAATCATACTTGCAGCGCAGAACACAACAGAAATTAGTCTCTGATCTTCTCCCCTCATACTTGATGATGTGTGGAGTTGGGGGCAAGAGGAAGAGAAAAGAGATGGAGAGGTGCCACCCACGAATCTAACAGTCACTTGGAGGGGCTGGGATTAATAAATCAAAAATCCATTATTAATAATACTAGCTTAAATATCTATCTAAATGCAAATGAATGAACACTGGGGGTTTCTTTCTATTTCTTTAATGTGCTCTAACAACTCTGTCTTAGAGGAAGCACATGCCTACATGGTTATTGTGTATTTTAATTGCAATTTTACAGTTCAACCCTCAATGTCCCATGGATTTTAAGTGGTCTTAAAGGGCCACAGCATGTTTTGAATTTGAAGGTCTAATGTGAGAATTGCTTTGAGTTTCCTGCCCCTGCACACCGGTCACATTAAATGCAAGGGGTAAATCTAGAGGTTGGTTTGCTACAATCTGATGGAAGTTAGAGCTCCAAGGTATACAGTATCAGATGAGTGAATGGAGACACATGGGAATGGCTGACCAGCCTTGAAACAGGGATCTGCAGAGCTATGGAAGGAGCCAGCAGTATCTTCTGAGTAAGCAACATCGTATCAGGCTGCCTTGGGTTGCATGGAGAATACAACAGGGTGAAACCATACAAAATAAAGCTGTAGAGCCATTAAATTGGTCAGAGCTTGGAATTAGGATTTATTTAAATTCATTCACATGCACAACCGTCTTTTGAGGCCAATCAGTGGAATAAATTCCAACGTTTTTTAAAAAAGGGACTAGTAGGGAAGAGAAGGTAAGAAACAAAGGGGAACTTGTAATATGGTCTAATGATGGATGTCCTTGCCCACAATAGGGAGGTTGGAACTAGGTGATCTTTAAAGTCCCTTTCAACTCAAACTATTCTAAATTTCCTGGCTGCGAGTCATCAATCATGAACTCAAACATGTACCAGGCAACAGATTCAGGGTAACCTAAAAATCCTTACTCAAAATGAAAAATAAATATCTAAAAGTATGATCTAAAATCCTTGACAGCTCTAGAGTGCAGCTCAAGTTTGAGGTGAACATTCAGGCCTGGACAACAGAGTTTACATAGTTTGCCCTTCATTGGACTTTGGAGACAGCAGTGGAGGCAACTCAGCTTTTAAATGTCATGCAAACAGCCTTGCAGCTCCTGTTGCCAATTCTTACAGGATCACATTTAGCTTTGGAACATGCCCTTGCAAAACCTGCAGACACCAGCATTTTGAAGTTTTCAACTACCTAAGATGCAAGTGTTGTTGGCTGAAAACACTTGCATGTATGCATGCACATACCAACACACACACAAAGCTGAATTTTAGCAATAACATTTGTGCAATCAGTCTGCTGGGATTTTGGAAACCATCACTGACAACAGAACCACAATGTCAGTGCCAAGAAATCGCCTGCTGCAGTCTTAGCTATGAGCCCATCCTCTGATCACAGAATGATAGAATCATTAAGGTTGGAAAAGACCTTCAAAATCATGTAGTCCAACCATCAACCCATCACCACCATGCCCACCAAACCACATCTCTCACTGCCACATCTACACAGTTCTTGACTACCTGCAGGAAATGTGACTCTACCACGTCCTTGGCAGCCTGTTCCAATTCCTGACCACTCTTTCTGATAAGCTTTTCCTAATGTCCAACCTGAATGCCATGGAGTTGTAAGGATTAGAATGAATTCCTAATGTCTTGAACTTGTAGAGAGAAAAGCACAAGTTGCCAAGCCTTGGGATCAAGCACACAGAGCAGTCGGACTTCCCATGGCAAGGCAGAGTCAACAGTGTTGTTCTGGGCACTGCTTTGCCATTCTGCAACGGCATCCAAGCTTCTCACCCTTCATGTTTCTTACACTGAGCATGTATCAGTGCCAATTCTGACAGATATATATCCAATCTGAATGGCACCATACTCTCTCGGATACAACCATGTGCAGACTAAATTTTGCTCTTTTCCTTCTCATACTACAAAAAAAAAAAAATTAAATGGAATAAGTCCAGATCTGAGCACAGGAAGGAAATATCTTCAACCTTCTGGGCATAATTTTCTCACTAGGACTTTAGAAGCAAAAGAAATCAAATGAAGACTAGAAATCGCATTGGTTCCAATTTTTGCCTTTACTAGCCAAAAAAAAAAAAAAAAAAAAAAAAAAAGTTGTACACAAATGCTCTAACCCCATTCCAGCATAGAAAGACAGGAGACTGAATCCTGCCCTTGTTCAAGCCTTGCCTTGAGTCTGCCCACCTATAGACAACCCTCTACTCTGGGCTGACCTACAGACCTGGCACACAGGTAATATAGTACAGTCCTAATTTATTAATTTCACATGTGTCTTTCTCCATGAGGTCACCACAGCACTCAAGTCCAGGCCTTGCTCCTGAGTAGCAATTGTCCTTCAATGGTGAAGTAATCACTACAACCCAGAGGGGCCACTGCTGCCCTGGGGAATAACATGGGTCTGATTTCACAAGCTCAGATTTTCCCTGGGTTCCTCAGCTTTCATTTGGATCCACTGATACATGCCAAATTAATCACAGGCCAACAAGAACTGACTGCAAATATGTTGCCCGCCTATGTGTGTATAAGCTACTTAATGGAGCATAAAAAGAGAAGAATAAAATCATTTTTCAGATGCTGCAGATAATAATAATAAATAATAATAAAGCAGAGATATGTGCCAAATGCATGAGATCTCAAGGAGAGAACCTGAGTGTAAGCAGAAAAGGAGTAAGGTTAGTCTTCAAACTGAGATGCAAAAGTCAATGAAGTAAAAACATCATTAAATGAAACACTTTGGATCCCCGTCAAGTTCATTCAGGATTTAAGACTGCACTTTCAAAATGTGGTGGTTTATTTTTTGTTTTTCTTTAAAGATATAAAATCCTTGGCAACTATTTTCCATGCGGAATCCATAGTGCTGGCCCTTTTTATTAACTTCGGATTTTTTTCCCTGCTGACTACAGTTATATCACTCAAGATCAGAGTCAGCTGATCAGAGTCAGCTATGGCAGGAATTATCATGGAAATCATATTATTATATCACAGTAACACAACCATGGTAGGCTACATTTGCAACAGTAGGTTCTACTTTTGCACTATTCTCCTTATGGTGCACAGTTCGGTTCTGAGCATTGAAAAGAACCAAACAGATACATCATGCTCATTTTAGAGCAACCAGCAGATGATCCCATGAACCTGGGTCTCACTTATTCCTCATGCTGCAAAGTCCAAAACTGAAAGAATCAGAATGAGAAAGCTACCTTTGCAAAATGGAGGCTGAAGTCAAAGGAATACACAGCTCCCAGTGAACAGAAGAAGAAACATCCCTTCTCAAACTGAGATGATTTCCTGCTATAGGTACATGACGCTTTCAGCACACAGGACTAATTATGGGTTACACTGGCAATAACTGACTGCAGTTCTTCAAATATAGGACTGGCAGTAATACACAACAGAGAGATGCATCTATAAGAAGAAAGGAATTGTTCCTACTATGGCAAAGGGCTTTGCCAGTCATTAAGTTTGCTAAGTAGAGAGTGCAAGCAACTACAACAGACTAATGCATCACTGATAAACTGTGCTGATTTCACCCCAAAAACACTTGGGCCCATAAGAATAAACAGAAGCCCACAGAACTCACCTATCAGTTTCATCCCACAGGATGCAGGTCTGGTTGGTGGTTCCCTGTCAGAAAAAAAGGAAAAAAGAAAAATGAAGCAAATCAGTGCTATACTGTCTATGGGGTATTTGAGGGAATAAGAAAGCAATATTCAATCCCATTGAACACCTTCCACTACTCTAAACATGCCATATCTATAAAGTTCTATATTGACAATCACAAATGTGAGTTCTTGGAACACCTTTTTCCCTTCTTGGTTTGAAATGTAAAAATAAAACGGGCCTTAATTTGTTTTTAATCAACACAAGACCTATGCAAGGATATGACTACATCTTTCCTCTCTCCACCTACTGATGTTCTTCTTCCATCACAGAATCATAGAATCACCAAGGTTGGAAAAGACCTCTAAGATCATCCAGTCCAACCACCCACCTATCATCAGTATTTCCCACTAGACCATGTCCCTCAGTACAACATCTACACGTTTCTTGAACACCTCCAGGATTGGTGACTCCACCACGTCCCTGGGCAGCCTGTTCCTGCCCCTGACCACTCTTCTGGAGAAGTTTTTCCCAACATCCAACCTGAATCTCCCCTGGTACAACTTGAAGCCATTCCCTCTAGTCTAATCACTAGTTGATTAGATGAGAGAAAAGGCCATCTTGACACAACCTCCCTTAAGGTAGTTGTAGAGAGCATTGATGTCTCCCGAGCCTCCTTCAGAATAAACAACACCAGTTCCTTCAACTGCTCCTCATAAGACTTGTGCTCCAGACCCCTCACCAGCTTCTCTTTCCTTCTCTGAACATGCTCCAGGGCCTCAAAGTCTTTCCTGTAGTGAGGGGACCAAAACTGAACACAGTACTTGAGGTGCAGCCTCACCAGGGCTGAGTACAGGGGATGATCACCTCCCTGCAATTCTATGATTCTATGATTCTAAAGCCACTGAAAGAGGTTTAGCACGACTTCTACAGCTATCTTTGTACACTTTTGAAAACTCTTCCCCAAAAGTCCAAAGTACAGACATGACAGATCTAATATTCATGTTCCTGAGCCTCAGGAAGACATCTGAAATCCACAACAAGAGGAGTCTTTAGGGCAGTGTAAATGTCCATCACATACATCTGCTTGGGGTTGCACAGGGGAACCTGGAGGGAATATCGTCTGCCTTTTACAGCACTGATCACAACATTAATATTCATGTCTCTAGTAATCTCTGCAAAGAACATTTCAAGCATCAACCAAAACAACTCTTCCCCTCCATCTTCCCTTCACCAAGAAAGATCATTGTCAGAGTCCATTTTTCATTGCAGTTTTTTTTGGCCTCAGAGAAATGATGTAAATCTGGGACAAGTATACTCATGTTCCTTGTGCAAGCAGTACACCTCTGCATCGGCAATGCTTGAGCAAGGAGGCAAGATTTGAAAGGCACAGCACTGAGAAACAGCAAGACATCAACATCAGCCCAGACTCAGGATGGCAGAGATGTGCCTCAGCAGTCTGATTAAAAGGAGTTTAAAGGATTCTGCAGTGGCAAAGACAGTTCAGGAGCCCAGTAAATCTGTATCCTTCTTCATAATATTCCTCCTCAGCAGAAACATGCACAGATGTGGGATAGTGAAGGTTCCCGGGAAAGACTTACATTGTACAGGTGGGAGAATTCAATTTCCAAAGGGGTGAGAAGGGACCGGGGAAATGGCTTCACAGTCACAGAGATGACTCTGGAGTTCAGAACAGTGCTGTTCCTGGGAAGAAGGGCAAAAAGAAATGTTTTAAGGGGACTTGGAGAAAGTGACGAATCCCCACTGCATCCCTTTGCAAAATAGATAGTCCTATTGAATTCATTACTGTGGAACAAGGTTTAGTATATACGGTGCAGAAGAGATTGGTACCATTACTTTATAATGCTTTCAGAGACCAGTGATGTAACCCATCCTCTGGCCTTTGAGATCTCCCCACTGGATGCTAACCACCTAAATACACAACAGATCCTGGTATTTCTGCAACACAGAAAGAATTGTCTGTCTAAAGGTGTGTAAAGTCCACATGACCAACCATTGAAAGTGCTGCCCTCAAAGTATGCCATGAAGGAATTAGAAGTAGAATGGGAGCTCCTCCTACACCCATGGACAAACAAAATTTCTCCCCTTCAAAACTTCATCACATCTAATGGCATTGTCAAAACCTGGCATTGGCAAAAACTTTCACTCTTCTATCTGGCTCTTTACAAAATGATTACTTGGAAAAGATTTGTACTTGCTTAAGCATGAGAGGGTTAAAAAAAATAAATCCCAAAATAATTAATAAAAATGAACAAAAGATCTCAAAACCAAAGCAAAATAAACCTGGAATCATCCAAGAATCTGTAAGTGGATGCTCAGCAAATGACTATTGTCCAATGGTAGGAAAAGCAGAAAGAACAGCAACAGTGTTTTAGAAAGTTAAAGAAAAAAAAAAACAAAGCCGAAAAAAAAAAAAAAAACCCAACAAATTATTGCGGTTAAAATTTAATTAAAATTGGGAAATAAGAAAATGAAGCACAGAAGTCAGTCTACAAAGGTTGAACAAAGAGGGAATTCAATAGGAGAAACATCAGCTTTATGCTTTGAAACGTAGGTAGCTGTAGATAAGCTGAAAAAGAGCTGCTGAAAGGTAAAAAATTTTATGCGTGGCTTCATTAATAGCTGGGTCTGGAAAGGTCAGTTCTTTTTTTCAGCTTTGTTCAATATTTGCGTGAACACTGTGATGACTTCCTCATGAGGAAGCTGTAGCTGCCATGAGGCCTCCCCTCAGCCTCCTCTGCTCTCAGCTGAACAAATCGAGGGACCTCAGCTGCTCCTCGTACACTTTGCCCTCCAGACCCTTCACCATCTTCTTGGCCTGCCTTCAAGTGCTCTCTAACAGTCTTATGTCCTCATATGTGGTGCCCAAATCTGCACCCAATGCTTGAGGTGAGGCTGCATAGAGCAGAGCAGAGTGGGACAATCCCTTCCTTCACCCTTCTTTGAGAGTTCAAAGCAGAGACCCAGAATTGATCCAGATGTTGGAAAACAAGCCAAGAGATGTCTTTTGAAAGGCATGTCTGGCACTTTCTTGCATGTGGAGGAGACGCTCACACAAAGGCCCAATGCGTTGAGGTGAAAATCAGATGAATTGAGCCTTAAAACAAGAGGCTGCCTCCTAACAGAGAAGGTATTAAGAATCTGAGCAGCTTGCTAGGGGAAGTGAGGGCCTCAGCATCATGGGGAATCTTTCAGGAAGAAGATGAGTTGCTTTTCTTCGATACGTGCTGTAGGCCAGCTTCTGGGAATGAAACCAAACACGCTGAGCTCAGGCTTGAGCAGGAGGTCAGATTTGCTCAGTGTGTTCCTACACAGCTATAAAAGGCATGCAAACAGCTGTAAACATGCTCATTTCTACACAGGGCCATCACGCCGCTGATTCTGATTGCTGCATGCATCCTCTGCAACAGAGCCCAGCTGGGACTGAGTGATGCTCACTTCCCCATCTTGAAAAACTGCACGTCTTGTATGTCCCTGTCTCAATGGTCACAGCTGTCAAGAGCCACAGGGCTCTATGGATCTGAGGGACAGAGCAATGTGTGGCTGAGATAAGAGATTGCCACGTGGGGGAGGTAAATTGGGACAATTAGGAAAAGCTCAGCTGGTACTGTTTACCAAGTTCAATTTACACTGTATTATACAAATACATATATATATTAGAGGAAAAAAACTCCCTGCATTAAGGCAATGTGGTCAAAACCAGGATCTGGCACCTCACGTGTGTCCAGGAGATATTTTCCCTCTCTAAATAAGTGCCACACAGCTACATGGCTATTTATAGACATTCCTTTTTTTCTTCCTATGTCCATTTGCACGGTGGTAAATTAGGAGGTACTGTTCTGCTGCTGCTTCTGTTACCTCCTTTTCTTTTTGCCTTCTATAGCCACAGGTGATTCAGAACTCTGCATTATTTAAAGAGGGACTGTCCTTTAATTAAGGAACATCTTAAATCAGATCTCCCGTGGGAATGTTGTTCAGAGGCTGCGGCTGCTGCAGCTGCTGGTTATCGGAGCTCATTCACTGCTTGGCCAGAAAATGCTGAAATACCACTGGATCATTTGAGCCAATGATGTTTATTGCCCTTCTGATCTAATTCCCAGTGCTGTAATGGAAGATATTACAGAATACAGTTAGCTTGCTAATTCCTCTCTGCACTCACTTGGAGCTCTTTTGCCAGAGCTGAATCTGTAGGTATTTAAATGATTATCGGTGAGGAGAGATGCCCTGGTGTTTATGGTAAATGGGCTCACACTAATCAGTGCAGAACAGATTTAGAAGGTGCCTTAGGATTCTTAGTTTACAGCCTCAGTACGAGCCTCAAAAAAAAAGAAAACAAAACAAAAAGGAATACAAATAAGGAACAAATTAAAAAAAAAAAAATTTAAAAAGAGCAAGATAGTGAAAGGGAGAGAAAAAAAGGGAAGGCTGAACACAAAAGCTTCAGTGCCCAAGGCAGTTTGCAGCAGCCAGAATGTGGTAGACATGTGCAGCCAAGCATGTCACTCCACTCCTCTCCTCTCCCTGAGTCTGTCTCTCTCTGAGCCGTGATGCTCTGAAAAGGTTCATCATGGTTGGTGGCTCCTCGGTAGCTTGGGAGAATTGGGGCATCTGGGCATCCTTACCCTTATCATTTAAACCCCTTCAGATCCCTTATAATGAGGAATGGAGCAGGAGGACTCATTGCTGGAGGAAGAATAGAAGAGGTGAGCAGGGATTCAGCAGCACCAGCACGGTGGTTCAGCTTGAAGCAGGGTTGCACAGGTGAGAGAAAGGTTTCCTCCCCCTCTAAAAAGCAATGTCTGATACACATTAGTATGATCCTACCTGATTAGAGGTTGGTGGGGGAACAAAATGCATTGCATCACCAAGTCAAAGCCTGCTACATTGCACCTCTGGAAACTCAGGGCTCTGCAGCCAGGAAGATCAGCAGGAAACCTTGGTGATATCCCTAACTGCCTGCTCTCCCTAGGCAGCCCCCTCCTCATAAAACCACAGGATATCAGAATGGTGGAGATTGGAAGGGACCTCTGTGATCCAGTCCAATCCCCTTCCTCAAGCAGGTCCACCTTAGCAGGATGCCCAGGACCATGACCAGGTGGCTTTTGAAGGTCTCCAAGGAGGAAACTACATAACACCTCTGGGCAACATGTGTCAGCGTTCCACCACCTACACAGCTGGTAAGTGCTTCCTTATGTTCTGATGGAAACCCCTGTGTTGTTTGTGCCCATTGCCTTTTGTACCAGCACTGGATACCACCGAAGAGAGCCTGTCTCTGTCTTCATTGCATCCCCCTAGAGGTATTTATGGACATGGATGAGATCCCTCTGCACCTCCTCTTCTCCAGGCTGAGCAGTCCCTGCACTTCCAGCCTTTCCTCATGGGAGAGGTGCTTCGGGCCATTCATCATCTTGGTGACCCTTAGTCACCCCCCTCCATTATGTCCAGTTCTCTTGTACTGGGGGGAGGCAGAACTAGATCAAGTACTTCAAGTGTGACCTTACCTCTGGAGCGAGAGAATGTTGCCCACATTCCGGTACAGCACAGTCCCTACCACGAAGACTGAAGAGTCGTCTGTCTCTGCAGGACACCAGAGGGAAGGGAAAAAGACAACAGCACTGAGATAATCCAAAAGTCAGCTAAATTCTCTCCACCCCAAAATCCACCAGCATAACACACAGAGAAGGGACAGGACTGGAAGAGGCTGGATTCAGTTCTTTTTCCTCTTTCATTTGTTATGTTTCCAAGGTGACATCCAAGGACAGGACTGGATCTCTTATTGGGGCCTCTGTTGGGGTGCATCCATTGCCAGCATCACTACAGTGGGATGCAGTGCCTGATGTCACCACATTGGGTCTCCATCAGACCTGTGAGAGGTCTGAACATTTTTAGGATGACTCTGGTGCCTGCCCCCATGCAAGACTCATCCTGGATGAGCGCTCTCCCATTCAGAAATCCCACTAATCCCTCTGACAGCACCACAGCAGGCAAAACTGCAGGCCGAGAAGGTCTCTTACAGCCACCCAGAGGCATTTGGACACATCCACTGCTATCAAGCCATCAGAGAGAAGTGCTGTGCTTGGGCTGACAAGGGCAGGCAAGGAGGGGAGATGTCCCACTGTGCCCGACCTGACCCCATAACTCATGTGCTGCCTCAGGAGGACAGCAGATGAGCCTGAATCATCTGTGTGACCTCTGAACACATCACTTGACCTCCTCCTCTGCCTCTCTCAGCCCAGCTGCAAATTCGCTAGAATATCCCTGGAAAAAGCACAGGCAGTCGAGGCATCCCTGAGGTTGAATTGTCAGAGTGGAGAAGAAATAAGTCACTTGGAGATGAGAAAGTTTGGGGATGTATCATGCTGTGGGGCTTATCTGATGTCTCCTACCAAAGCTGATGTTTGAATGCACTCATTTCCCCAGATATAGCTCTGGATGTCTGTCAAATTGGGCTCAGATGAGATAGCAGGTGAAAATCAGGACAGACTGACAGACAGGCTTGCAGAGCAATTGTCCAAGATTTGTTTTCCTAGGAAAGTCCACACAGACTTTTGGCCTTTGTCATGAATCCCTCTGCAACCAAGGATCCTTCTTCCTTTCAATAGGGTTTTCTTCCTTTTTGCTAAGAGAATGCAGTAGAGCATTTACAGAAGCAATGTGTGTTCCTATGAGAGTGTGAGCAAATAAAATGCTAAGTCCCACAGGCTGGGTTACCTCAACACCCTCCAGAAAAGGCAGAGGATCCTGATCAAAATAGGGCTGGAGGACTGCCTCTTTTGTTTTGAACAAGAGAAGGGCAGTACAGCCTTGGTGGAACAGAACACCTCAGAAATGTGAAAACTGAGAGGAATTTGGTTTTTCAGGGTGAGCATCACATTTCTTTTGCACAGTGGCTGCTGCTTAGGAGCCTTACAGCATTTCTTTGCAATGATATCTGGGAAACAGCTCAATAGGGGAATAAGTGATACCTCCAAGGGTAGGTGTAATCACCAGAGCAGAATCAACTCTGCTATGTCTGGACCCAGAAGTTTGTCCAATGAATGATTAACAGTATACAAAGGTGGAAGTTCCACACCCTCCTCTAATAAGCTGAAATAACCCTCTAAACATGTTCCAAGTTCTTCTAGGAAGATAATGCTATGTTTAAGGCACTATAAAACAGAAGGAGTTTTGTTGGCTTTGGTCCTTGCTCTGCCAGAAACTCACCCTTTATCCTTGAGTCACTTAACTCTTCTCAGCCTCAGGTAGAAATGACAGCAATGTTATTTCCATCTTGAGTAAGGAAACCTATGACACGAGGTCTTGGTATGACAAAGCCCAAAGGACTTCTGACAGACATAGCTCATTATCTCTTGCCTTCGTACCAAGGAAGTACAGCACATCCTGGTGCAATAATCAGCAGCTTGCTCTCTCAAAACCACTAATGCTATGTGCAAGGCTGTCAACAAGGGAAGCCCACCATTTCCCTGCAATCAGCCTAATTTAGAATCCTGTTTTTGAAAATCCATTGATCAATTCTGCCAAATGCTAAGGCTCACTGCCAACACAGGAATACTTGTTTGCATTGGCTGCTGCCTCTGGCATCCAGGTAAAGGCTTTGCTAGCAGAGTCAGATCCATCAGTTGCTCAGCCTGATGTGCTAAGCCTCAGCTGTTCACCTTTGGATGGCTCTTCCAGGACTGGATCCAGTCTCGGAGGACATAACAACATTGTTTGCCTGCATGGCTGTCACCCTGCCACAGCTACATTTCTTATGCTGGTTAACTATACTTATAAGGCACCAACAGAGACCACTACGGGTGTCTACCCCTATTAAAAACCCAGAATATTCATAGGGCACATTTCAATGCCCAACCTGCCTTGCAGAGAGAGAATTGGAGACTAAGCTCAGTGCCTACATGCACCAAGAACAGAGCAACTCAGAAAACACAGAGATGTTTTCGCATTATTGCAGGTTCAAAAGCCTTAGAAGAAGCCTTAGAAGCAATCATCAAGGTAGTGTTGCCCTGAGTTTCTGTGCTGACTCTTTCTGTTTTTTAAACATGATGATGATCTTGCCCAAGGAGTTCAGATTTGACCCTTGGTCTGGCCACATCTAAAAGCCTTCTTTGCACTCATCTCACTATGGTGAACTTCTGTGAGCCAATCCAGCTCAGCTGGAAGGAGAATTTGAAGACAGCCAAATGTAAGGAACCTCTGTTAGAAAGTGAATATGATATTTTCTTCTAGGGAGTTCTGACTGTGCTGCTTACCTGTCAGCCCCGAAGACAGGATGCTCTTGGAGACAGTGACCTTGTCTTCTGAATTCTTGGCCCAGTCCACCATGCCTCTCCAGCCTTTCATGGGGAAGGTGATGTCAGTTGCTGCGTTAGCGGGCAGCTTGTGAATGCCAAGGACTAGAGAGAAATAGCAAATAAAATCAGTGAGTAAGACTGGCCTCAATAAATTCACACAAATTGAAAAACCCACTATAGTCAATAGTGGAAAATCAGACAGCAAAGCCTGCCTGCCTGAGATGAGATACTTCTACTCCAGGAGTGGCCAGAAGCAGATGCTTAGGGAATTATAAGAAAGAGCAAAGCAAGACTTCTCTTGTCTTGTCCTTCCAGTTTCTAGCAGTCAGCAGGACTTTCTCAGCTTGTGGTTACATCCAGACAATGAACTTTAATAGCCACCGATGGAACTCTCCTTTGTGCAGTTTCCTAATCCCATCATGAGCCAATCTGTACTTTTTGGCTTCTGCAGCATCCTCTGGCAACAAGTTCCATGCTGTGATTGTGCATACAGCATAAATCAAATACTGCCTGCTGTTTGTTTGCTGTCTGATCACTTCATTGGCTGCTGTGCAGCTCTTGAGCTAAAAAACAAAAGGAACTAGCTTAATTCTTCCCAGTTTGTCATCTGTTCTCCGTTCATGGTTCTATAGATATCTCACAAACTATTTTGTGCCCATCTTTTCATCAGGCTCAAGTCCTAGATTAATTGGAAAAAAGCTACTCCATGGTTATGATCATCCACGTCTTTCCCCAGACCTTACAATGTTCCACCACCTGCTGCCTTCCCTCTTTCCCTCCCCACATCCAAGATTCTGCATACTGCACTGCAATTACAGGTTCCTGGGGTCTATACCCAACATGGGAGTGCAAATCAGCTCACCCAGATTGTCCGTCACTTGGTAGGAATCCCGGAAATCCTTCATGCGAAAGCCGATGACATCAATGAAATCCTCTACAAGCCTGAACAATTCCTTGGCATTTGGCCCTATCTGCAGAGAGAAGGACAATACTTAGTAGCACAGCTAATAAAAAATGCAGCTAAGGGAGACTACAAAAACAAAGGGGCAAGAAATAGTAATTCATAAAATTGAGGCTGGAGGGCAGTGTCTCAAAGCAAAGCAAAGAAAAATATCTGGGAATCTCTGGAACAGAAAATAATCTACCTCCTTTCCTTCAGGATTCTTTCTACTATTAACCACTTGATCCAAGCAGATAAGTTATTGCTAATGCTTGCTATGGCCCACCTCTTGCAGTTAATGCAAGAAGAGCAACATATCAGGACAGATTCTTAGCAGCCATGATTAAATGTAACTACATGGTCTTTCCAAGTCCTTTGGCTGGAGTACCTGGCCCAGCCTAGCAGTACACAAGCCATTGGCAATGCAATTGTCCATCCAGAGGCATCATGACAGAAAGTGAAGAAGTGGTCCATGTTGAAACTCTGCCCTATGGCAAATTTTGAGAGCTTTTTTCAAGCCTTAGGTTTCCCTGTCCCTCGAGTACTGCAACACTTGGCCTGAGAAACTCACAATTTCTTCTGACTGCGTATATATATCTATATATGTTTCCTACCAAGAGTGAGTCCACAAGACTTTGCCTCTATTAGAATGGTTGATTTTGCTAACAACCCCGTGAAAGCAAACACACCAAACCAAAAACTCCAGCCTACTTTGAGGATAAGGGTAGGTTTCTAACAGGCTGGTTTTCAGGTTTGGTTCCAGGAGGGATGTTTGGGAGAATGTTTCTCACACGTAGACAGCAAAGAAGAAGCACAACTGGATCTTAAGGGATAAGCAGGAAACAAAATTGAAGGAAGGGCTCACTGCTTCTCCCTCCTCTTGGAGCATCTCAGGGAACTTTGGATGTCTATTTGATGAGACATTAGAAAAGAGGTATGCAGCAAGCTGGTGAGTGCAGAGATCTATTCTGTCTTCCATTCTTATTCTCTGTTGAATTTCCAAGAGTTGTTCTTTGGTCTGAGTCTTCCTCTGAATCAAAGATCAGCATGCCATGGTGCACTTCAAAGAAATCCAGACTTAAATTCTCATGGAGGGAGGGAAGAGCATTCTCAAAGGCAGGAATCCAGCCCCTAAACATTATTCTTGAGATGAATCATGCTGTGTTCAGTGACACATGCTTTGACCACCCTAGAAGAAAAACCTTTTAAAGCTACTTAACAACCTTTAAATTACTTTAAAAACTTCTAAACTACTTAAAATACAGTTAGACTAGATGATCTTTGAGCTTTTTTTCAACCACAAAGACTCTGTGATTCTACTTCAGCTAAGTCCAGTACCTGAAGCACTTGAAGCCTTGAATTCTCATCTGCCTATGAACAGATGAGGAAGAATAGTGTTGTAGGAGTTGTTTGTATATTTAATACAGTCATTTGTAACTCTATCTGGTACTTGATCACAGTTTGCTGAACCAGATCCCTGACACGGGCATCTCACCCAGTTGTCAACCCGAGTCAGAAACTACCTAAAGAGGAGACCAAATCCCAGCAATGCAAAGGGCTAATTTTGAGGAAAAAATTGGTCCAGCAAACACACACTTAGCAATGAACTCCAGAATCTAATGTCAAATCCCAGGCACCAGATCACATAATTCTACGCAGAAAGCATCATCATCCCTTCTTATGCTTTCCCATTCTGATTGCAGGATCTCACTCTCCAAATAACCAAGTTGATTTTTGCCCAGACAGTGTTGGATTTTCTCTCTTTTTTTCTTTCTTTCCCTGATAGCTCCCATATGATAAAGATATTGGCAATAATTCTTATTTGCCTGTATTTTACTGGGCATGCAAAAGGCTGTCAAACAATAACTGGTTTTGCAGTGACTGATTTCATAAAAGGTAACCCACATGAAATGAACTGTGCTTACTACCTGTCTTTTACTCAAGCACAATTGCCTGCAGCAGTTTAGCAAACATGATGAGAGGTCAAAGAAAAGCAGTCCAACTCCTTACATCTCTTTATTTCCTTTTCCATCACTATCACTTTTTTTTTTTTCCCTGGGGTTGTTGATCTTGGAGGACAAGCAGGACAGGAGGAAACCAGGATGGCAGCAGAAGGAAGGCTGTATGGCCAAGGAGGAAAGGGGTGGCCATGCATGACACTCTGTCTGTCTATCCAAAAGAATATTGGTGAGACTAAAATTGTATCAAGATCAGATCAAAAAGTCCTGCCAGTACAGCAGGTGTGCACAGAAGGAGAAAAAACCAAGGAGACTATTTTTAACAGTGTATTTTTATATTCTATTACAGATTGAAAGCACAATGTCACATTAACCCCAAGCTACACTGGCCATTGTCTTTCAGGTTTCTATAATAAAACAGCTAATGTAACCTCACCAAAAGCATGATAGCCCTTCTCTATCTGAATGCCTTTCTGGTTCATTTTCTTTTATATCTTTTCCCCCCCATCTTACACATGAGGGGGGTGGGGGCAAGATGGAACATGAGACCATAATGATGTTGGGTTTATTTCTAATTTCTCGTTTTAAAGGAAATGATTGACCTTGTGAAATACGAGGCATTGGTTTGCTCCCCAAGCTTTGAATGAGAAGGACAGAGACTGCTGAAATCTTTGCCATCCAGTGCCTGAAGATTTCTGAGGCCATTTTCTGTCCTAAAGTCATGGTGTTGTGCTGTCATCACTAATTCCACTAAAATAAATGCCAGGCAAATATTTTCTTCACGGCAATTTAGAGCATCATAGTTCCACTCCTTGCACAGGTTGATGTAATGGTGAGGGCAGGCTGGGCTGTATCTATAGGTACAAAGAACAGATTGCACAGGGAAAGCTGATGGGAACTAATTGCCAGAGAGTGAAACCTGCAGCTGTTTTTATGGAGATCAGCAGGATTTCCCTGTTGTCATGACAACTCGGTAGACTCCTCTGCACTGTTTTCAAATATGTACACACACCTGTGGTCTTGAAATTGGTCCCTTATCTTGCCTGAAGTTAGACTATGCCATCCCCTTCCAAAGGTAATGAGAAAAAAACAGATCTCAGGGAGAAAGGAGGGAAGGATACATCCACAAAGCTGCTCAGCTCTTGGTTGAGGTCCTGCTGCTTGAAGAAACCATAGAGCACCTGAGTACCTCTGAACTACCAACGAGTGTGCACATTTAGTGAAGACTCCTTCCCAGAGGACTTCCCTGGTTGGACTGAAGGTTGGCTTTTTTTTGTGCATGTTAAGCAATTTTTTCTTGTTTGTTTAGTATTTTCAATTTGTTTAGCATTGTCTCTCTGATGACTTTCACAGCAACAAGAGATGGTTAAAAAGGGGCTGCCATGTTCTGATCCACACCAATGGGTACTTTCCATAAGACTGATCACTCATAAAGGCTCTCATGTTCCTTGTCCAGGTTATTTTTTATGCTGTGACAAAAAAAGAGCTGGTATTTTTGTTCCAAGGAATAATACTGAGGAAAGGACATGGAAGGAATGAGCATTACTACTGTCCAATTCACCAGAGCTGCTGCTTGTCTGAGGCAGAACCATTTCACTCTTTCCCATTTCACTCTTTTCACTGCATTGAGATGAAGATGTGGAGCAGCTCAAGAGCTCACCAAGCAAATGAGAAAGGAGTAGGTCTTACTGAATTAAAGTGCAACTATGACAGAAGATACTAAGGACAAATATGACATGAATTGATGAACAAACCAGCATGCAAGGGCTTAGTTAGAGAATTATTATGCAGAATCTCTGTATTTGAGAGGACAGAAAGTAAAATATAACTGAATTTTTGCTCATCTCATGCTGAACAGAACCAGAAGCTCAGGCGAGCAGAGCAACTCTAAGCAAGGAAATCCTGCTTGTCCTGCACCTTTGTAGCCAAGAACTCAAACCCATGTAATCCCATTGCTTTATCTTGGCATGAGGAGAATTACAGCAAGCCAGGAGGGTTATCAACTCCAAATCCAGTCTGATCTCTGAGAGCTATCCAAAATTTGGTATCCACCACCAGCTTTTTTGCTCTTACTCATGCAGCGATTCTGACTTAGGGCTGAGATCCTGTGGGTTACAGAGCTACTCAGCCTGGCATTGAGATCTGAGATCACCCAAACAACCAGTTGCACATATCAGCTGATTTATAATAACTCCTGCAGAGGTGGTCAACTCTGAAGCTGATCACAGCTGACCATATCCAAGTAGTTTCTCTCTTTCATTATAAAAAATTATCCAAGGAAAGCAGCAATGATGGGTGGAGATATTTCCTGGTCTGTGGCAACACGAAACAGATTCATGTTGCACAGAATGCAACCAATGTCTCGACCAATGTGTTGGTCAAGAAGAGCCATGTAGACCATTGTAAACACCCCCTTGTCATGGCTTAAGCCTATGAAGAAGGCTTGCTTTGTTTCACAGAAGGTGCTGAAGGTTCCTACCAGCTGAGCTTCCTCCCACTTGTCCCGGTTTTCCTCCGATAAAATGTTGCTGATGATCTGGACAAAGTTCTGGAGAAAGGAGACAAAAGAGGAAAAAGGGAAGAGTTAGCAAAACATGGCCTTCTCTAGGAAGGGCATGGTGGTACACAAGGAACACATAAGAATTATCCAGGAGACCTTTCAAGGTACTGTTTCCAAAGTTTCCCACTGCATTTGGCTGGCTTCTTCCTCCAGAGATGTTAACAGTAGTAAAACTTTTTTCCCAATTTTTTTCTCTCTCATTCCTGCTAAGGAACAGGACTGGGAATATGTCTTATTTTCAGTGTTGAAGATTTTAAAGAACAGATTAGACAGATATCTGTCACAACGTGGCTAAATACCGTTGATCTTGCCTTGCAGAAATCAATTCCTACCCTATTTCCTACTATTTCCATTGCTTTCCAGCATAGGGAAACTTACTATCATTTTTTTTTCAGTGACTTTGAAAGAGAAGCAGAGATGTATCAGGTGGGTGCTAAGCCTTGTAGTACTTTGACCATGAAACACACAATGAGAAGGAAGAAGACAAGATATTTCAAGACCATTGATCTTTTTCTCAAGTTTTGTCACCATTTGCAGATACTGCTGGATCAGTTTAATGTTTCAAGTTGTGTGGTGCTGATCAATCCCAAGTGCATATTTTGTACCACTCCATATGCAACTGCTGAAAGTAAAATCCTCGGGTGAGAAGCCATCAAGACATTCTCCCACATCAACATCCAGCTACCCAATATCACAGGGTCATCTTACATCTAGTCATTAGGCTGTAGTTCTTTCCAGTATACCAATTAGCTTCCAGTGTAAGTGCTATCAGGTTGTAATAGGTCAGAGTGACTTTGAATTTCAAGATCTTATTTTATAGGCCAGGGAGAAACAATCTCAAAGGGACGGTCTGTTAACAAGCAAAGACACTTCACTTGGGCAGAATATAATCCCGTTGTTCATCAGTATTGAAACAGCTCAAAAAGAGGTAATCAAACCCTGAGCCTTATGCAAGTGGCTCAGCTCACCTGCACATCTCCAGAAGTTGGGCTGTGATAAGCCCTACGGAAGATCTCTGTCATGTTCCTGAGTACATCAATGGTGGACAGCAAGTCTCCGCTGTAGCTGGTCCCATCCTGGGAGATTTCCACAAGGTTCTGGAGCACTTCTGACAGCCCATCTCCCATCAGTCCACGCTGAGCTTTGGAAAGATGCTCCCTGGTCTGAGGAACAGAAACACGACAAACACTTTAGAGACAGTGAAAGTCAAGTTAATGAGCTCGGCGAAGGAATTGCTGGGGGAAGGTTTATGACCTTCCTTGTAATTCGGAACACAGATCAGACGAATCTGACAATCTTTGCTGACCTGACAGCCTGTGATATTTTTAAAATGATAGAAGAGCAAAAGTCAATTTTTTCTGCATGCCCACAAAGAAAAGGTTGTGTGTAGGTTCAGAAAAGATTATTCTACTACAGAAATGCTATTCTGCTGCTGACCCAAGGCCAGCTAGCAGAAAATTTTTGCCCTAGAACCTTGTTTTTTTAGTAAACTTGAACTACTTTAGCTCAGACTGTAGCTCATCCTGAAAAGGACAGTTTTCATACGGACAATAGCATTGTAAGGCAAGCCATAGGAGACTAGCAGAAAAAGGAGAATTCATCACAGTAGTAATTTTAAGTCTAATGAAAATTAAGTGTCTTATTTAAAAGTGTTACAATCACAGTAATTCTCATGGATAATGTGATACCAGTGGATATCACAATGGATATTAATGTTCCTGTCCAATGCAGGTGAGTTGGATTAGGTGACCTTTAAGGGTCCCTTCCAACTCAAATGAATCTGTGATTCTATTACGTGGTGGAGGACACGATAAGACTTGGATTCTAACAAGCTAGGTATTAAAAGCCTTAGAGAGAAAACATTATGGTCCGTGGATTGCCCGAGCAATCACAAGACAAAAGCAACTAGACAAAAGCAGAACAGAGCTGTCATCTTCCTTTCACATGGAAATCCTGCTTTCCTTCTTCTTTGTAACTGTGATAGTGTAACAAGCCTCTGCGGAGACCCCAGATGTGTTTAAACCTGCCGTCAGTCTGCCTTACCATCATCTGTATGTTCCTGTAATCAATAGAAACACACTTGACGTATGTTGGAGGCTCCCAGTAAGCTATCCCTTCTTCATCTAAAGTGCATCTTCGAAGGATTAGCCCTAGAAGAGGAAAGAAAAGAAGATTGGAGTGGGGACATTTGAAAAGCCAGGCACTCTCACGGAGATCACAATGGACAGGTCAACGCATCTATGCAGGCACAACTACAGACACAAAAGCAGCAGGGGCATCTGGAAAGTGATTGAGAGGTTATTTTTATTTCCTCCTCCTGCATTTTCTTACTAAGAGACAGGACAACAAAAGGAGATGCAAATGAAAAAGTGTAACTGGGACATGGTTTGTCTGTCATACGGTCTCAGTCATATCGCCTGACTTTTGCGTAGCCTTGTGTGGAGCCAGAAGTTGGACTCAGTAATCCTTATGGGTCCTTTCTAACATGGTATATTCTATGATTTTGTAATTCTAAGGCAAAAGAAAGTTTAATCAGTCCTGCAGGGCAGGCTTCTTCCCGGTTCAAGAAGTCCCACGAGCCTCCCCAGGTGGCAAAGTCTGGTATTTGCAACTGAAGCACTGACTGCTGCTGCCTACACAGTCTCAACAAAAATAAATATCCAACAGCACCATCTTTGCATCTGATGAAAAAACTGAAAAGCTGCCTGCAGTTCTCCCCCAGGCTTTTCTTTAGCTTCAGTGTACAGTTAGTTTTGCAATGCAGAGGAACACATACATCAGCGAAGAGAAAGGGGATAGGAATAGCCCAGGCAATTGCACTGCCATTTGGAAAGTCTCCGAGGAGCAGGCTTTGCTGGGTGCACAATTCCATTGCTACTGCTAAATGATTCAGTGACCTATGGTACAGCCCTTCTTCTAGGCTAGCATTAGGAATTACACTGACTGTTCCAGGATGCATGAGTCAACGAGAGCTTCAGGGTTTTCTGTGTCCAATGAACTTACTCATAAAGATTAAAAACTTTATGATCGCTACAGACACTCCTGCCCTATTTTATTTCCCTGCCTAAGAGTCAGAAACATGCAGCTGGGAACAATCTCCATCAGCAGAACATCTGAGCCTTCTCCCCTGTGTTATTTTCCACTTCTTGGAATATGTGGCCACAACATATAACAACTGAATGCCCAGGTACTACTATTTCATACCACCATGACTGGACTCTCAACTTGAGTACCTGAAGATTAAGTTCACAGAGTTTCTATGATTTCTAAAAAAGAGAGGTAAGTATCACTGGGCAACCTGATCTAGTGGATGGCAACCTGCCCATGGCAAGGGATTTGGAAACAGATGATCTCTAAGGTTCCTTCCAACATAGCCATTCTATGATAATCAAAACATGACTGGGCAATCAAATTCAGATTTACTACTTTGTTTTATGGTCAGCAGAGAGAAATATAACACCCAAGTCTAGTCTAGTAGAGCCCACCCTGCTTTTGCAGAATAGGATGGAATTACCACAGGAGCCCTTAATAATGAAGCAGCTTAGCAGTAGGCAACAGCTGGAGGAGAGACCATCTCAAGTTGTCCTGTATGGACCAGAGGTTGTTGGTAAATACTTAGAAATCCACAGACAGTGTACATACCCTTGAGTAAAGGGCAGAAAGCCCATTTGCTCATCCTCTCCTCTCACAACCAGATTGCCTTTGTCTAGAAGTCAAAGGATTAAAAGTGATCTGAGGGTCTCTAGCCAAGATATGCAGTCATCCTTACCGGTGGCATTGCGAGGACACCGAACAGCTGCAGCATCCCCAGCAGGCGTCTCTTTCCAAACCACAGAGGCAAGACTTTCCTCGTCACAGATCTCATGGGGCTCTGCAAGGAAGGAAAAGCTTCATTGGTAAAGTCTCTTTTCAGGAGGGATGCGGAAAACAGCATGGAAAGGAGAAAAAGGGGAGTATGGTCTGGAAACATGATGATGCTTGGAAGATAGCTGTCACTGTTACACCTTGCTAAAGAGTTTTTTTCAAGTGAGAATGTCCAGTTTTTGGTGGTGAGCTTCAGGGCTCCACACTCAATTCCTTCCATCCTTCAGGATCACCATTTTGGTGTTGGATGTGATTAAAATGAGGCTCTGCATAAGAAGGGGTAAGAATGAAGAAAGGAACAAAACAAGGGTGAAAAAAAGCCAGTTGGGAATATCCCCTGGGTGGCCTTCATCCAGGTCCTCTGTCTGCTACCATCTTAAGTGAGGACACTGTTGCATTGCCTCCAAATGGTGCTGCAGAATCCAGGACTGCAAAAATGTGCAAAGGATGTTTAGAAGTTACAGAAAAAGCTCTTTGGAAGATAAAGTTTTCAGATGCTTGCTTCTGCTGAAGGATATAGATATTGGCCCTGAAGTCTTTGGGGCCTGAGAAAAATACCATCACAGAAGGAAGGTTTATGCTGAGAAACTCATTACTTGCAGCACATAAAATGAAAGGAGCCATGAGTAGGGTGTTAAAGCTATTTATCACTCCTAAGAGTGTGGAAGGGGAAAATTATATTTAATGGTTTTCAATTATAGATTTATTTATTGTGCATTTCAAACTAACAATAAAGAGAAATCTGAGAGCATGCCTGCAGCTGGCCAGGAGTGGCAGCTGCAAAGCCAAAGCCAACCAGCCATGAAGCTGGGCAGCTGCCTGCAGAGCTTCCTTCCTATGTAGGAAAACACTGCCCATGCCAAGGTCCAGTAGTGCCAGTGGGAGTGTGCAAAGTTGTAGGGAAAATTTACATCTAGTACAACAAAAAACACACGTGTCCTGAGTTTTCAAGCTGTTCAGAAAGGATCTGTATGTGATAAATCCTGAAGATGTCCTTCTAGAAGGGACTGTCCCATGAATGGGATGACATAGACCATCTTAGGGTTTGTGTTAGCAGTAAAACCTTGGGAATGGAACTACCCAGGGTACCAAACTGCCTATGAAGAAGGCTTAACCTCAAGACTAAAGGGAGTGGCAAGTCCTATTGCTCAGAAGGACTAATGGAGGATCTAAGAAGCTGCCTGCACATCACAGCTCCTGGAGTTAAGCTCCAAGAGCATGAGTCTTCTTCAAGCCTCAGTCATATTTTAAATGCAGATTCTTTCCTGGTGCATCCAGTAGATGATGATAATAAACAAGTTACGCTCCCCGTTTGAAAACAGACGTTTTTTCCTCTTTTAAAATTTCCTTTTGAGTAATCACTATTATAATGAAATCCCAGAGGGTAAGCAAAACCCTTGCTGTGCTCTGCACATACTCAGAAATAATTCCAATGCCAACAACAGCTCATGACTTCTGTAGATAAGGCAGAACATGGGCAGAAAAATAGTAGCTTTATACCTAAGTTGATGACAAGGAGCTTTGGATAGAGAGATGAAATCTTCCACTCATGATTAGGTTATGGTTACTCAGAAAGCTGAATGCAACACCCCTGCTTTATGGCCCAGTGCTTTGACCATGGCCACAAATTTCCCACTTCAAAATGTGGTTCGAAAGGAAAATAGGGTGGAAAACTTCTAGCAATCTCAGCTGCAACGTACCAAAGCAAATACTGCCTGTCAAAGAGCGGAGGGAGAGTTTGTTCACATCTGACCTCTCCTTCCTCCTCTGACTTACCAAAGCTTCCCTGTCTCCTCACCCCTGCAGTCTCCCTGGGGGCCACTGAGGGATGCTGTGGATCAGAGATGCTCTTTAGGAGTGTACTGACGGGCACTGTCTTGCCCGTGAGTGCCGAAGCAATTCCCAGGCCAGGAGAGAATTATTTCATCCTTTTATTTATTTATTTTTATTTCTGTTTCATAACTATATATATATATATTTTTTTTGAGTAACCTAATTGCACGGGGATATTTTAATAACTAACCCAATTAGGCTTAGCTCTTCTGTTCAAATCAAATCACGCCAGCCCTTCATACTTTCTCGAGAATGAATGGAGTTGGTTTATTTTTAGGCAAAAACCTTTCCCCCCCCCCCCCCCCCTCCCCCTCTGCAAATTAACAACTGCAGCAAGACCCTTCTGGTTTTGAACCCTCGCAAGGCTCAGTGCCTCAGACATGCCTTTCCCTTTTGAGCACTGTGCAGGCATCAGCCCCCGTGGACACAGAAGAAAAGATCAGGCTTGTTCTGCCAGGGCCCCAGCTGGCACACACTGAAGCTGAACTAAATCTTCATCACTCTGTAGACACCACCAGACAACCCGGTGCTACAGCTTTCAATGGCGGAGGAGAGCTTTTGTGGCACAGTTAGAAGAGACTCTCACACGCCTCTGCTAATTGAGAGGCACAGCTTGTAAGGAGAGGTGATGTCTTTTATTAGAGCGTAGCTGCAAGGAGTGAAAATGCTCTGTTATCTTCTGGCTAAACTTCCCTGCTGAAGTGCTTTTGGCTTTTATCTGTCTTCAGCTGTTTGCAAGCGACTCGGAGGGGTCAGCTGTCCCAAAAACATCACAAATCCATCCCCAGAAGTGTCTGCACCGAGCTGCATCATTTAGTGAGACACCCACTCTTCACACGGACAGCCATGGTGCCACCACGAGAATCCCTCCTGTCGCTCACCAAGCTGCTCCAACAATTAATTACCCTCCCGGTCATAAACCGGAGCCAGTTACGATCGATGAAGTCTGCCAGCCAACATCACATAGCCCATTGATTTCTCACCAGCAATTTCACCAGCAGGGAGTTTAACTGAGACTAAGAAAGAGAATAACAATTGTGTGCTGGCCTGTTTTCTGTCTACACACTGCATGTAAGACATGGAATCTTTCCAGCTTGCCTTTTCTTCTGCTTCCTAAGAGGAGGTTGTGGCAAGGTGGGAGTCAGCCTCTTTTCCAAATAACAGCAATAGGACAAGAGGTAGTGGCCTTAAGTTGCACAAGGAGGGATTCAGGTTGGATATTTGGAAAAATTTCTTCTCAGAAGGAGTGGTGAGGTATTGGCACAGAATGCACAGGGAGGTGATGGAGTCACCATCCCTGCAGATGTTCAAGATATGACACTGAGGGACATGGTTCAGTGAGCTTGGTGATGATGGGTTGATGGTTTGATTTGATGATAATGTTTTTTTCCAGCCCACATGATTCTATGATTTCCTTGTCCTCCATTCAGGCTTTCATGTCATTTTTATTAAATGGATTGGCCCCATTGGTGTAGCTAGAGAACGGTGAGACTCAACAAGTGTCTCACAATTCTGGACACATCCACTGTTTTTTTTTGTTTAAATTTCCAGGAGCATGAAGGTCTCCCAAAGGCTAGTTTGAAGGTAGGAAACTCTGCATCTGTCCTCCATATTCAACTATTTAATGGACTCAAGATTCTGATGTTGATTATGGCTCTCAATGTCTCTTTTCCTCTTATGACTCTATGTCAATGGAAAAAAAGGAAAGTCTAAGTCTAGACTAGTGAGATTTAACAAGTATTCACTGAAATCATCATGGTTACATTGCGAAAATTAAATCCAGCCCTTGATATATCATGTACCTGCATTATGAGCAGGCACAGCTAGATCACAACTCCCTGTTGCATTCAGCTCTCTGACAGCTTTTTCCAAAATCCCTGTCCTCCCCAGTAAAAACAAGACTGTGAAGAGTTTGGGATACATACCAGGACACTTCCTGTCATTGCACTGCCTATACTCTTCCTTGGGACCCTGGCAGGTCTCTCCTCCAAAGAAGGGTCCGTAGCACACACGGTCACGTCTCTGAGTTCCACCTCCACAAGTAGTGGTGCAGCTCCCCCACACTCCCCAGGCTTGCCATTTCCCATCCACTGGAGATACAAAAAAGAGAAACAGCTTATAACATCCCAAACATCATTTTCAGGAGAAAAAGGCAAGTTTCCAAGGTAAGCATTGGAACACAGGATGAGTAAAGTAGGTGTGAAGGGAGATCTCCTGCCCCAAATCCTTGTCAGATTCTCAACACACATGAAATCAGTACATTATCTTTCCCACTGCAACAGTCATTCAAGAAGAATGAAGAACATTCTTCTGCTTCTCCTGAATATCTTCATCCCACAACACCAGAACTATCTCTTTCCTGGAGCACCAGTCTTATGAGGAGCAGCTGAGGAAACAGAGACTGTTTATTCTGAAGGAGGTTCAGAGGAGACCTCATCACTCTCTAAAACTCCCTGAAAGGAGATTGTAGTGAGGTGGAGGATGGCCTCTTTGCCCAGGTAACAGCAACAGGACAAGTGGTCTTAAGTTTTGACAAGGAAGGTTCAAGTTGTATACTAGGAATAGTTTATTTTCAGAAACATTGGTAATGCTTTGTAACAGGCTACCCAGGGAGGTGGTGGTGTCACCATTTCTGGAGGTTAAATCAAGAAAAGGTTAAATGTGGCACCGAGGGACATGATTCAGTGGGTATGATGGGAACTAAATTATCTTAGCAATCTTTTTCAATCTTAATGATTCTATGATTCTTTTCTTGGGCTCCAAGTTGGGACTCAGTCCCATACAGTCAGCAGAGGTTCAACCTGCTGGATGGCAACATCAGGCTGCCAAACTCCACAGCTTGAGTTTGGTTGGAATGCAAAAAGTATATGTGAAAATAGATTTTCAGAGACACACCTCTGGTCTGTGCTGTGGTTGTAAAGGGACCAGCAGAGCCCTCAGGTGATAAATCACAAAGAATCATCAAATAACCCTTCTCCAGCCATTTCCATTGCACCATTGTTTCACATGCCTCAGAAAGAGTTTTTGCAAGAGACTCATTTCTTAGTATCTTCTCCAAGTATCTTTACACATTCAGTGGAAATGCTACTGCTTTTGCATTAACAATGGCCTTTATCAAAGCACTATAAAAATGTTAATTATCCCTCACAACAAGCCTACAAGGTAGGAAAATGTTCTCTTCTGCATCACAGACACAGAACAACAACTCAGTGTCAGAAATAGAGAACTCTCTTGATTCCTATTTGGGTTTTAATTAGGAATTAATGGGTTATCTCAGGTCAAATAATTCCTTGTGGGAGAGTGGGAAATTTCTCTCTTTTTCTTCAGAGGAAGAAAATTACTGAACAAAAAGGCCAGCATCAATCTGTGGTACTTTATTTGGTAACACCATATATAGTGTAAACCATACCTCTCGATGCTTTGATACGTAACTCTGAAATCAGTGTAACAAGGATGCTTAAAAAGGGGGAGACCCTTTGTGTCCTTAAGAATCTCCACAAGTTACAAAGAAGTGAGCAATCTAAGAAAACATAGTAGAGTCCATATAGGGAAGTCCAGTAATTATGGCCTGATTTTCGGGTGGTTTTGTGACAAGCCAGGAGTTGGAATAATTAATCCTTATGGGTCTTTTTCAACCCCAGTTATTCTATGATAATAGAGTTAAATACTGCTATACTTTCTGCTGCAGATTTTGTTGCTACCACTGGAGATAAGAACTTATTGAGGAAATGGTTGTTTGTGGGTGTACTTGTTCTCTTGGAAAGGGGAGGAAGGCTCTCTCCATCTCAGGGGTCCACTCTTTCTCAGTCCTACTGGCTAAGAGACATGTAGCAACTAAGAGGAGCCAGGAAAAGGGCCAGGTGGAGCATGGCAACACTAATTGGTTCTGTTTAATCTTGAAAGCATTTAGACATCTAAGCCTTATTTTCAAGAAAGAATATTTTTCACTCCAGTTGACCCAATTAGTCAGAAAGATGTGTTCCCTGTGGGTAATCACTCATCTGTCAGGGGTCTCCTGGGTTTGTCAGCTATGGATTTTGACTTGCATGGTCCATAGGTATGATCCACAGCCTCCTTATTACTGCAAAACTTGTGAAAACAGCGCAACTCTTCCCCAAAGAAAACAGGAAGGGATTTTATATAAACTTATCAGGGATTACCGACAGAAGGATAACCCAAAAGAGAGGAAAATCCATTGGCCACTGACCTGGGCACTGACGTAGGAAGCAGTCTCGGGTCTCTACCCAATGTCCTTGGCATTCAGCTCCCCCATAGGAAGGTCCATTGCATTCCCTCGTCCGCTGCTGGGTGCCGTTGGAGCAGGAAGCGGAGCAGGAGCTCCAGCTCGACCACTCATTCCAGTTGCCGTCCACTGAGTGGCCCAAAGAGAGATAACAAAGCGGAATGTGAAAACCTCTCCCCCTGGAAGGAGGCATGTGCAAGAGTCCCTGACCTGTGCCTACAAGGGACTGAGGAAGGGGAGGGCCAACCAAAGGAGTTACAGAGTGAGTGAGAGGGAGAAGACCACCAAGAAAGAGTTCAGGCAAACATGTCAGCAGCAATTTCTTGGGACCTTTGCAACCTCTAATTGGTATGTTAAGGCTTGACAGTATGCAAGCATCATAACACATTGATTTTTATATTCACAGTCTACATGACAGCACAAATGTTGGAATTATTGACATTATATATTACAGTACAAAGCTCTCAGTACAGGCAGTTATAACAAAACAACAAAATAGAGAATATGGATCATGTTTCCACTAAAAGTATTGAAGGAATCCGTATATTACCACGACATATCCCATTTTAGTCTATCAGTATTTTTTTGAGGGAATTCATTCTTCACTATGAATGAAAAGCAGTGCATGAGTCTGGCTCCTCATGCACTCAAATGCTCTGTACTTCAGAGGAAGCCCTTAAAGCACAAACTGAAATCACAAACTGAAATCACACTGTTATTCAAAGGAATTCATGCTGCCAGCCAGGAGATACTCAGAGGTGCAGAGGTGTGCTCCAACAGGAAACCACAAGCAGAGAGCACATGTGTGGTCAATGCACTTCAGTCATATCTGAATTAACGCTGCCAGGCTTGATCTGTCTCCACATAGCACATCTCTGGTAATTGAATAGGGAAGGGAGGGAAAAGAGAAGTTGCAATAGGGACAGGTTTGGAAGGAAACATGAATACATTCTATTAGCATGGTACAGCTTGAGGCATTCCCAAGTGTGGCAGTCACACCCTAATTGGCCCCTGGTCATCAGATCTATCACCCAGTCTGCTATTCCTGGAGCACTTTTCCTCATTAGCAGTGGTCATCATGCTCTGTTTAGCTCTCATTAACTGCTAGTTCTCACTCAGAAAAAAAAAAAAAAAATAATTGAATCATGGAGAAGTCTGAATTCTGGTGTAAATCACATTGTTTAGATGCAGGTCATTTTCTTTCACTTTGGTTTCTTTGACCAAGTAAAATATATGCAGCCTGGTTCTCTATACATTCTGCAAGATCCTGAATGGCCCCAAATAATCCCCACTGTGTTATATGTTTTTTTCTTTTCAAGAAAATGTCAAAATACTCAAATGAACAACTGTTAATTCAAACAGCATCGTGTAATCTCAGGTCTGAAAAAAAAAAAGGATGCTTCTTCTTGGCAATCCAAGCTTGCTGCTTCCATTGTGCATAAATTCAAAGTATCACAGCAATACTTATCAGTCCCAAGGAAAGGAAATACAAGAGGTGGTGACTGGTAGATGATTTCTCTCTGGAAATGATAAAAACCTCACAGAATGTGTCCTGTCCAGTAAAAATTAGTTATTTTTTTTTCTGCTTGAAGTTGTCATCAACTGGCAGTGCGTGCCCCAGTGTTCACTGATATTGGAAAGGTTAGACTACATTTCCAAGGTAAAAGTCACATTTAGCAGAAGAAAGTCGGATTTAACAAAGGCCTACCTGCTGCCATGAGAGTGGAGACTGGAATTCTACCACAACTTAAGGAGTTGGACTTTGTGATCTCTATGAACCTCTTCCAACTTGGGTTATTCTATGATTCTAACTGTGTGCATTTGGAGATGGGAAAACAAAAAAGAGCTGCATCTACAAATTGCTTATTCTCTGCGAGAGACGGAAGAAGGAATTTCCTTTGAGATGAGAGCTTATTTATTAATGGACTGAAACTGTAAAGATATTTTAAAAATGGAGAAGCAGAGACAGACATTCTGCATCGGGAGCCACGTGCACTGACACAGGGATGTCTCCTGGGCAAGATGCTGAGAAATCTCCATCACAGACCCAGCAAATCATGCAGTGCTGCTGCTGTATCGCAGAATCATCAAAGAAGTTCATTGGAGTCTGATTTGTGCAGTCTTTGCAGGCAGTGGCATTGTCTTCCCCTTTATTTCTTCCTCTCCAAAGGACTCAGGACTCAGCCGGCGATATCTAGTGCTCCAGAGGAACAAAAGCTCTGTTGTCCCTGCAGCAGAGCGTTTTTATCAGTTGCAGTAATAAATCCTCTGAGCGGGGTGGTAATAAGCGATACAACTGTCTGGTGTGTCAAGCACTGAGCAGTGCCCATTGTTGTGCTTCAGTGAGTCCCCCAACGCGGCACTCATTTGGCATAGCAAAGCCACTGATTGCCTTTGTGGCATTAATTAGAGCTGAAGTCTTTCAGTTGGGCTGCCTGTCTCTTCCCCCACTGTTCCGTTTGCTACAGCGTATCCACATATTTATTTGTATTTAAATTAATTATGGCTCAACATTAATTCAGGATATGCTTTATTGCCCAAGCCACGCCAGGTCTGACTTCTTCAATTTGTCTTTTTATGACAGAGTCAATTTGATGTCTGGGATGTTCTTATTCTGAGTACAGTCTTTTGAACTGCAGCCAGAAGTCCAAGGATAGTTACTTGGGATGAAAACTGTGCAGAAAATGCCAGGAGGCTCCTCACAAATGTTTTCACAAAGTTCTCATCACTCCCACAATCCCTCTCCTCCTCCGGGGACACAATAATTTCTCATAATGATTCTCATTAAACCTGAAAAATGTCAGTTGATATTACCCTGGGAGAAGGGAGGAGTGTTGGGGAGTTCCCTTATGTTCTGATCATGTCCACTAGGAAAACCTGAGTTAAATTAACAGGGGCTTTGTGTGGTTCAGGGGAAGGAAGCCACAGAAATACAATTTGATTTGCAGTGAGAAAGCAGATTTCTTTCTGGTGTTTCAAAGCCAAAATCAGGGAGAGGCATTTGAAAGTGAAATCTGAGGAACAAATTTCAAAAATAATGAAAAAAAAATATGGCAGGAGTCTCATAGTCCATGTCACTGACCAAAGAAGGATCCAGTACAGACAGAAATTGCATGGTGAAGTGAGACAGGTATGAAATTAACAGGCAAAATTACTCATCCCAGCACAATAACATGCCCAGCTGGGCTACATGGTTCCATACAACCCATTGGGGATAATAAACGATAAAAGTAAAATGTTCTTGGAAATGCCAGTTGATAGTTGATAGGGCTCAATGATAGTTGAGCCCGTCCAGATTCATCCAATACAATGTGTCCTTAGTACGTTAAGGGCAAACCAGAACCTAAGACACTGTTGAGTCTCATATCGAGGGGAGGTTTAGGTTGGATATTAGGAAAAATTTCCTCTCAGAAGAAGTAGTAATGCAATGGAACACTTTGCCTGGGAAGGTGGTGGAATCACCGTCCCTGGAGGTTTTTAAGAAATGCGGAGATGTGGCACTGAGGGGCATGGTTAGTGGGTATGGTCGTGATGGGTTGATGATCTCATTTTCCAACCTTAATGATTCTATGATCTCCTCAAAGGTGCCCCTAGGTTGCTCCTCCAATGTTTTCTTTTCTTACAGATGATCCACTTTGGAATAGATCAATGTCAATAGGAGGTACATCTACAGAGCTGTTCATTGACCTGCATGTGGGCATCTTTGGGGATTGGGAGACCTGCTGGAGGGAAGTCTCTCAATCTCTAACTGCCTTACCTGGGCAAAGTGCAATGTTGCAGAACTTCGTTTGCTTCTCTGGGCCCTCGCAGGGGTTCCCACCAAACTGTGGGGGCTTGCATGTGCGGGTCCGATCCCTGTACCCTCTCCCACACGTGGAAGAGCAGAGGCTCCATGGAGACCACTCATCCCAGGTACCGTGCACTGCAATAAGAGCAGAAGTAAGTTTCCTTTCTAAAGGAGGTCTGGAGAAATGAGAGAGCCCACAGAGCACATCATCTTCCCGTCCAAAATGAGCAGTATGTGAGAAGGTTGTGTGGGAAGGCCAAGAACAAGCCAGCTTGAAATTTGCCAGAGGAACATGGTGTAATTTTATATGATTTGGTATCAACAACACTTTGCTTTCCATCCTACTTGAAATAAATTGAAATACACTTTTAATTGACCCAATTTTTTGGATCTTTGAGCCAAGGAAAAATATGATTTTTTTGAGAAGATGCAGTTAGCTAGAGAGGAACAAAACTAAAAAAAACCTAACAGTTTTAAAAAAAAAAAACACAAAAACACCAGCCTTTGGAAAGCAACATCACCATTATTTTGTCACTTCTCACCATTATTTCCCTCACTCAATTGAATTTTCAAAGGCTACAGCATTATCAAGCCCTCAGAAAAGCTGTAGCCTATTTCCTAATTGCTGTCATACAGCAGTGACATCAGAGGCAAAGCTAGAGAGATTTAGAAGAACGGGAAAGAAATGAGATGTGCAGCAATGCTCCAGCACTGCTCAGGCCATCACTGGTAACTCCAAGAATTAGACATCTAAAGCCTCCTAATCTATATTGATGTAATCTTCTTCGAGATAATCTAATCTAATCTGGCCAGTTTATTTATAGGAGGTCAGTCACCGTAATTTCTAGAGGCCAAATGTTACGAGTATGTACTGATCACTTTTAAAGAACTTTATCCTTTCCAGCTTCAGCCAAGGAGGCTAACACAAAATCAATAATTCTTCAGGAAAAAAAAAATAAAAAAAGACCCACAGAAGCAGGTACTTTTCCAGTCCTTCATTGGCTGCCAACAGTAACTGAAACCTAATTTTTGTGATTGTCATCAGGAACTTTTTGTGGTAAGAGTTAAATAGAGGAGGAAATTCAAGAAAGGGCATAAGAACTAGCTTGGTGGTTTTGCCATTCTAAGATTGGTTGTGAACAATGATGTTGCTGTCCAAGAGTTGTGAATAAGAACTCTTTAATAGCTCAGTTTTTGAAAATAATTAACAGATTGTGCTATTTCATCAAAACTGTGGAAGAAGTACTATAGAAGAAGAGGGAAAGGAGGGTTCGGTTCACAAATATTCCAGCAGCTCAAGTTTTTCATACTCATTTTGCAGTAGTGTATCCAGTATTGGAATCTGAGCAATTAAAAATGTCATCTGTTGCTTCTCTTTCCCATCTGCCCCACACTTGAAAACATCTCCCAGGGTCACAGACTTTTTAGATATATCATGTTTATTGCTTTTAAATAGAATGAAGTTGTCCATTCCATGTGGCATAAGTGCCCATCTAATAGTGTTTGGTCTATCAAGAGTCTCTCTATACGGGAAGGGAGAAAAAATGATATTTCCCAATGACATATCATAGGCTGTCAATGCTCCATGAACCTTCCTTTCCCTCCTGCTTGTCATGCATGGCGTGCTCAGCCCACCTGGGCATATGGCAGAGTTGTTGCACTGTCTCTGTTCCCGGAGAGGGCCGCTGCACTGAGTGCTGTAGGAAGACGACACACAGAACCTGGTCCTGGTCTGCCAGCCCTCCCCGCAGGTAGTTGAACACACACTCCATGGGGACCACTCCTCTGCTGCAGGGTCACCTGTTGGGGTTGGAGAAGAAGGTGAGGATGTGGCATGACTGGTCCCTGGATCTCTGGGGCAGTTGCACTTCAACAGCCACTATGCAATGTGACCCCTGTGTGGTGTGAGAACAAAGGGGCAAAGCAATTGGTGAGGAACTGTGACCATGGGTCAAAAGGTTTATTTTCAGTAGGGGTAGGGGGCTATTTCTTACGGAGGTAAGACACACACACGTCAGAAGGGAATGACATTGTGGACGTATCAGGGCATTGGGCAGGACAGAACCCACCACTGATGATGGTAGAGGATAGCCACTGCAGAGTGATGTGAGCTGGGATATTTATCACTCACTCAGTGATAGTACTGATAAAGTCATAGAGATTAGACAGATAGTGAATGTGTCCATAAACAGGGCAGGCATAACGATCCAACTCCTTTTCCTGCTTTCTCCTCGCCCCTACTAATGCAGATTGGCAGCAGTAGAAAAGATAAAACAGCAGTGACAATGCCAGAAAAGGACATCAGCTGAACTAATTCCACACAGCTTTCCCTTGTCATCTCCTTCACCTGTGAAGAGCTGCTTTGAGCATCTGACTGCTCCTGAACATCTTATATCAACTGCTTCCCTGATGGAAAAGTATTGATTGGAAAGACAAGTAAGAGCATCCCATTCAACAGGAGATGGGAATGGGAAGAACTGATATATACTGTCTCTATCACTAACATCACCCACTCAGTCCTACCAGAGGGAATGTCACTCGGAAAAGTCACAAGAAGTGTGATGGATAGTTTTTTATTTATTTATGAGCACTAATCTATCTCCAAGAAAATACCTTCCTCTCTCAGATGAAAACAAAAGCCTGCTTTGTTTTGTTTTAAGCTCTGCATTATTTGTTTTTAAAATTTTTATTGGGTTACTAATAATTGCACACCATAAACCTATAAAATAACATTTTAATGCATAGCACACAGGCATATGGCACAAATAAACACCAAAAGCACATATTTGAGAATGCATAATAAAGGAATATATCCTTCAAGTAACAAGTCCTTCAGATCCTAAGACCATACTGTGTCACATCATACCCAGATGCACCTGGCAGACTATGGATGAAGTACAAAGGACTGTGGTGCTTGGTGCAGCAGTAAGCATGACTTTATAGGGATTGTACAACATGGCACAGCATTTGGACACATAGTGATGCATCCTGCACCACCACCTCATTCCCAAGGAAAGCTTGACAGCAGGTAATGTGTTAGACTGACCAGTTTCAAGACAAAGCATGAAAGACAAACTGGTAGTGAGATGTCACTCTTTGAGATTTTCTCTTGCTTGTAGGGCAGTGAGGGTTATAAAACATATCAGTGAAGTCACTGTCAATGTAGGTGGGAGCTACAGGGGGTGTAGACCATTAAACTGTCCTATACCAGCTTGACTGACCTAAAGATATGCTTGTCTTCCTCAAGGTGGTATATTTATTCACCAGTGTCTTAAGAGGAGTCTTCTGTATGCAACTATATTTTAGGTGCATTGAATCTGCTCACTGAACTGAGAAAGAGGTGGAGGTAAAAATGAGGTGACCTCCACCTCATATGTGTTGTTGTAATGATTGCAAGCTCTTTCTTTCATAGTATCCTTTCTGTCAAGAAGATCAGGGACAAGTAAAAAGGAACTTTGTATTTCCCCTGTAGTTTGTAAACCACCTACCTTCCTTGCTGCCTGTGCAGAGGAGGGGCACTGGATATAACTGTGTTCATTAAGCCAAAGTTGCTCAATACTGTTTCATTTTAATTTTGTGTTTTGTTCCACTCTCCTACCCAACGGGTTCCACTAGGGAAATGTTGTGCACTATTGGTCTTCCCCTGAGATCTGTAGGAGTGTGTGTGTGTTTTCAGGCCTTGGGGCTTCAAGAAAGCAACACTCCTATGTCCTGCTTCTCAAATATAAGAACTCCTGGTATAAAGAGATCTGCATTACCATGGTAATTTGGCTGCCTTTACAATAAGGAACTCAACTGTCTCTGCCAAACAGTCCTGTGACAGTCTGAATTCACCACCAACATGTTACCTTTTGGTGCCATTGTTTCAGCATTTGCCAAGCAGAGTGGGCCAAATCCAGATCCCTCTTCAGCTCAACAATTCCTGCTGCCTAGCCTGTCAGGATGTTACATGGATACCACGCATTTACTTTGCTTGGACTGTTCTCAGAGTCTTTCTAAGAGACAGAGGAAGCATGAAGAGATGTAGTGTCTTCCTCCATGAATGACTCGTGGCTTGCCATCACACCATCTCCCCTCTCAGGTTGTGGTTTTACAATTTCCATGTCCAGACAATAGTTACTGTGTCACTAGACGAACCAGTGGCATCTTTGACCCAAATTCCAACCATTCTCCTTCTTTGCCCTTGTATTTGCTGTCCTTTTCACTTCTACTATACAAAAGACTTTGTAGAGGCAAAGCTCCTCAATTATCACCTCTCAGATCGCACAGATGCTTGTATTTTAAATCGATAACATAACTTATTTTCCTAGATTTATATAAACCTACTGGGACACCATGTCCAGTCAAGTCTCAGTCTTTACAGAAACATAACTGCATTTCAAACTGTGTCAGACTCAGTCATGAGAGGCTCTCAGAACCAATTAGCATTAGGACAAGCTCTCTCATTTTCACCCAAGAGAAGGAGAAATATCGATCATCACCAAAACTATTGTAGAATCTTGGGATCATTGAGGTTGGATAAGATCACTAAGATTATCTGGTTCTACCACTGACCCATTACCACCATGCCCATTAAATCATGTTCCTAAGCAACACATCTACATGTTTCTTTTGAACACCTTTAGGGATGAGCACTCCACTATTTCCCTGTGAAGCCTATTCCAATGTTTGATCCCTCTTTTTGAAAATAATTTTTTCTTAATATCTAATCTAAACCTCCCCTGGTACAACTTAAGGGCATTCTCTCTCATTCTATCACAGTTACTCAGGAAAAGAGGCCAACACCCTCCTCACTACAGGTACAGAGAGATAAGGTCTCCTCTGAGCCTCCCCTTCTCCAGATTGAACAATCCCAGTTCCCTCAGCCACTTCTCTTAAGACCTGTGCTACGGATAAGACTTGTGTTCCATGGATGACAAGCTTTCCTACATTCCCACAGCAACTCTCTTTTATCTGGAGAGCTCCCAGCAGGTGTCACAGGAGACTCTGGGCATTGCTCCATGGAGCTGCAGCACTGAAATCCTGGATCCTTTCCAGCACCTGGCCAACCCTGATAGTAAGTGATCTAGCATTACAGAGAACTCAGCTGGCTGTAGGGTCTCCATCAGTGCCTGCAGCATCTCCATGACACTTTCTCCCTCAGCATTAATTGTGCGACACATTGCTGCCATCCCTCCGCCAGCATCTCTTTATTTTTGGCACATCCCATCCATTTGACATCTCACCACGTGCTGCCTCTGCTTCATTCACATCCTGCCATTGGCAAAAGTCTCCTGGAAGTGATGTGTGGGATGATCTGGGAGGACTCATGCCAGGGACCTGCTGGGATGTCACTCTTGTGCTATGGATGGGAGGGGCATGTGGGCAGCCAGCATCACTGTATGATGGCACAACTGTGCCACCGTCCTTAGGACCTAGATATCAGGGCTGAAAACAGCTGGCAGGAGCAAATATTGGTCTTCTGCTAAGCAGATCTTCCCCTTCATCCATGGTCCACATAGCTGGCATTCAGCTGTATTTCATATTTCATGTTTTTCCAGGTCTCACATAGATTTCAAATTGCCTGTCCCCTTCAAACTGTGTTAACTGCTAGGGAAGACTCTTGCTTTGCATTAGAATCCCCAGCTTCAGAGTCTAGTCCCAGTCTGGGCTGTAGTTTCAGTCGGGTCTTTACATCTCCTCCATTCTGATCACCTCAAACAACCTGACCACAGCTGATGCTCCTGGGAAAGCAGGAGGGACTCAGTGAACAATTTGCAGGACAGCCTGCAGCTTCCAGACCTGGGGTCCGCAGCACAAGAAAGGCATGGAGCTGTTAGAGCAATCCAGAGAAGTGCTACGAAGATGACCAGAGGGTTGGATCGCCTCTTTTACAAAGCCAGAGTGGGGAAGCTGAGCTTGTTCAGCCTGGAGAATAGGCTCCATGAAGATTCCATCACAGCATTGTGGTACTTAAAGGGAGCTGGTAATCAGGAGAGAAACCAACTTTTTACATGGGCAGATAGTGATAGGACAAGGGGCAAAGCTTTTAAACTAAAAGAAGGGAGATTTACGTTAGATGTTAGGAGGAAATTATTTATTCAAAGGATGGTGAGGCACTGGGACAGGTTGCCCAGAGAAGCTGTGGATGCCCCATCCCTGGAGGCATTCAAGGATGCCCCATCCCTGGATGGTCTTTTGGGCAACATGATCTGGTGAGTGGCAACCCTGCCCAGGGCAGGGGGCTTGCAATCAGATAATCTTAAGGCATATACCTTCCAACCCAAGCCATTCTATGGTTCTATGATATCCCAGCCCATGCTTATCTGAAGATAACACCACAGCTGAAAAGCAGCTTTGCTTCATCCATGCTACATCACCTGAGAATGCCTTCCCTTCACTCTCATTTGTACCATTCATCAGGTAGCAGCAGTATCAACACCTACCTTTTCTACAGCTTTCTGACAGCAGTGAATGCTGCTGCAGGCAGAGGGAGCAGATTCAGTGCAGGGTAGCAATGAGATTCAAACCATCCTTATAACTTCACCTGCTGCCAGGTCACCTTCAGAGCCTCTGCATCACAGTGCTGCTTTCTGGCACTGCTTGCTGCTGCACAATGAGTTGGACTAGAGCACATCTGATACACACCAGAATATGACCCTTCTCACTTATGACCAGCGTCACAGCTCTTGCTCCTCAAATCATCCCTCTGAAACCTTTCTAGAGTACAAACAGTTTGCAAGGCCAATGGACAATGATTTTTGACCTGCAGCCAGGGTCAGCACAACTTGCATTGCCCAAGAGCCGTGATGCATTGAGCTCCTGCCATGAAAGGCAGCTGTGAAGGGACAGCTTAAAATCAGATTGGACCTGGCTTATATCCGGGTCCTCTTCATTCTCCCCTTCCCAGATCACACAATTTGATGTTATTGTATCTTATTCCTATTTGATTGCAGAAGGTTGGAAGTTCCTACCATAGAGATTAACAGATACAAGTCCTTGCACTGCACTAACAACTTGATAACAGAGGAAAGCAATACTGCTCTCTCCCCATCAAGCCCTGCACACCTCCTTCTACAGTGAATGTGAAGGCATGACATGGACATCAGCAAAGAGGCTGTTCTGCAGTAAGGTCAGCTTTGGCTTAATGAACCATGGCTGTTTAGGTAGTTCAGACAAAGCAGTGACTTAGAAGTAGGCAAGGTGATGAGAAGCAGTCTGTGAGAAGCATGGTCTGGTTAGAGATTTCGTCTAACCATTTTTGCCTTCTTTGGTTAACAGCAACAATAAAAAACCCATCAGAGCAATGGGATGGGAATGAACTGAGTGCTCAGAGTGTGACTTGCTGAGTAAGCCCACACTATCCTGGGAGGAAAAGGGTTGGTTAAGTGGGTCATTGAAACAGCAAAGCAAGTCATTGCAGGCACTCCAGCTCAGCTGGGATGTGTAGGGACAGGGCAGCTGGTCCAGAGTCTGTTGTGGTAGGTCAGAGCTTACCTATTTGAGGTGCAGGGTACCCGTAGTGCTGCAGTTCATCAGTGTCCTCTCGCTTTCTGTTATCTGTGGACCTCAGCGATTGGCTTCTGGAATTATAGCGTCCATTGGCTATGGCAAGGTAATGGGTCATGTAAATACACCTTGGTTCACTCTGCAAGATCTTTCACTACAAAGGTTACACGTATAAACAACAGTGACCTGCAATGTTCCGCTGACACGACCACCTGCTTTCCAACCCCATGACCCTTGGCCACCAGCAGCCCCCAGGGCTATTGCATCAAACCAGCCTTCAAGACTTGGCCTGGCTGGCAGTTCAACCCCATGTTTTATTGCAATACATGGGACCATGCGGAATATGATCCTTTATGCCTGATCTTTAATTAATTGCAATGAACTGCTAAGGTGCCTGTACTCTTCATCGCACTTGTTTAATCTTTTCAGGTGTGCTGACAATGAAACCTGACAACCCTGAGAGTGTTTTGAGATCTGTGGTGAAGATTGGCAGTATATTTTGGTGGAATACTCTGCCTTGCAAGTGATATCTACTTAGCAACACGGAGTATTCAGAAAATGCTGCATGGAGCAGGCAGGTGAGGGCAGGTGAAAAGGAAAGGAATGGCTCAAAAGTATGTCTCCTTCTTAGACTCTACCCTAACATAAACAACAAGATCTGAAGGTCTGCTATCAACAGTGTGGCTTATAGTCCAACAGAGCTAACATTGAGCATCTTGGTAACCTACATGAAAGAGCAAAGCTACATATTACAGTGCAGATATCAGTGAAGATCTCTGACTGAAGACCATGCTGTTGAAATCAGAAGATAACCAATACATTCTCTGTACAAACATTTCATTTCTGATTAATAGCAAGCACCTGTCTGTTTTCCAAACCCACAAAGCTGTCAACTTTGCGTTTACATCATTTGTGGTATAGCTACAGAGAAAACTAAAATTTGACTCAGGTTTTCCTTGGTTGTGGGTATGTGGCAACCCTGATTTACACAAACACATGCCCTCCCTAGTAAATAGACAAGCAAGCAAGCAATAGCAATTGAGTCCCACCCCCAAGTACTGCTCACTGCAAATCAGGAAAGCTCAGCTGACTCCGATGGAGTCATACAGAATAATGTAGTGCTGAGTCCAAGCAATTTGTTATCTGGCAACTAGTTTGTTTCCAAACAGCAGGTACGATACAGAGGGCCTTTTTCTCCAAGGAGGTAAAAAACAGTCAGACACCTTTTCAAGATGTACAAACTGCCAAGAAATGAAATGGTGACAATTATCATCCTGGAATCCTGGGAAAATTAATAAAGGTTAATGAAGCTCCAGTGTGGTGGCAGGAGTCTTTATTGCCATCCAAAAAGGAAAAGCGGAGTGGGGTGAGGAATGATTCTGAATTCCTTCCAGGAGCCAGACTTCACATTCAGCAGCTTTCTTCATGGAAAACACCCATTTAGTTAGTGAAATTATGTTATTCCCCATTACCAGCAACCCAAATCTTCAAAGAAACGTAGGAATAGATCACATCAACTCCTTGAAACCTTCCCAGCACTGACTGGTTGCAGGCTATTGGCTGGAAGGGACAAGATGGGGCAGTTACTTGCCTACTGTCAACAATGGCATTGATAAAAAGGGCCCAAATCTTATTTGTTTATATATCTAGGAAGTTTGGGACCTTTGCACAAGAGACTAGGTTTACAAAAATTCCAACTACCTTTTCAATACCCAGTGTCTGAGTTTGCTTAAATTAGTCCTGTGTTCTCTGTGATACGGGACACATCCCAAATGCTGATCCATTTGCAGCACTCTTCCACCTGTGTTGACTACACTCATACTCTGTATGTTCTGATTTTACTTATTTTCATGAAAGCATCAAAACCACAAGGACCAACAAAATCTCCATCTGCAGTAAGTCTCAAAGGTTTCCCAGTGACTCATTTTGACTGGGAGGAGAAGGAAGGGATGGGCAGTGAAGGGGAGATGGGGAGTTTTGATAGATTTGTCAGCTTCTCAGAGCAAGGGAAGGGACATGACACTGAGTGTTTCAGAAGTGATCAGTGAGCATGGATAGACAGGGAGACAGAAGATGGGACAGAAGGAAGGAAAGATACAAGAGCATAGTAATAAATAAATGCAACCCGGACACCTTGACCCTCCTCCCACCAGCTCTTTGGTTTCCACATTATTGACATCCTCTAATGATTGATCTTGGTCTCAGAGAGAAGCATGATTTCCTACAGAAATGACATGCCTGCACTGTTGCTGCTCATCCTAATCAAAAGTAATCGGGTCCAACAGCTGAACATGTCATCTTGATGGCTCGCCCCACGACTCCTCCAACAAAGATTTCGTCCAAGCCCATACCAGAGTCTCTGTTGCAGCAGGAAGGATGTCTTCCTTTCAGAAATGGTGTGACAGAGAAGCAGGCCAAGCCCCATTTAGCACAGAGCATTGCTTATATTTGATTTGAACAATTACTTCAAGTATAGGTGAAAATCAGTTGTGATTCTGAAGGAAGAAGGGAGATGACAAGTCTCTTGTGCACAAAGCTATATTTATGCACCTGAATGGTGCATAAAGTTCACAGCGTGGTGCATTTATGGGGCCATGTAATAAAGGCAGTAGGGAACTAATCAGATCTCAGCAACTTGCTTCCCACACCAGGATCAGAGGAGAGGAGTAATGCTGGGATCAACAGAAGACATAGATATGGTTTACATGCAAACTGTATATAGGAATGGCAAACCATGGAATTACCCAAGCCCTTGGAGAAGACTAGCAGTAGAGCTAGAGAAATAATGGCCTTGAGGCAAACAAGAAAAACTGTAATTGCAAACACTTGCAAGTACTTGAGATTTTGGAAGAACATGGATAAAATGTGGACAGAGAGGATGATCCTGAAGTGCTAGTAGCAGTGGGAAGAAGAGGCTGGTAATTAACATTGCTGATGAGAACTTGTAATGTGTAACCTTGAAATACAGCTGAGGGGAAAAAATGGGATGCAGAAAACTCATGTCTTTGTGGGCCAAGTCTCAAACTTCCAAGTGCGTCTCACTAGAAATACTCACTCTTCTCTCAATATTCATCCCCCAAATGGGAGAGAGGAAGAAAATAGCAGCATCTTTAAAATTATTCAGGCAAGCTGGGATAGTGGGAATGAAAAGACAGATGATAGCAAAAAGTGAAAAAATGATTAAAAAAAAACACATTGAAATGGGCTAAATGTATCTCAGGTACATATAGGACAAGAAGCAGTTCCAGTTTGAAATGAATTCTAGCCTGACGTGGAGAACTGAGATGCTCTCACATGTGGGACATTTCAGCTCTGTGACTGCAGCAATTTTTAATGAAATTCAGGGGGAGCAGAGAATAAGACTGAGACCCAGCCTTGCCACTGTCATGTGGAACATACTATTCTTCACATTCCTATTAGTTAAGCAGCTGAGGGACCAGATCCTGATCTCATTTCTTGCTGGAAACCAATACAGGTCAATGGGTTTGCACTTACATCATGCTGCACCTTAAGGCAGGATGCAAGAGCTCCCCTCCTAGGTAAGGAGAGATATAACTGTCCAGTCTGCATATTCATAAATGTCAGATGGTTTTGTGTTACTTCTGCCAGATAGGATGGCAGGATTTCAGCTGGCTCCTTGTGTGGTTTTCATTCCCCAGGAATCAGCACAAGCCAACATTAGCTCTGATTGCTCTTGCATTTCTTCAGAGCTGCTGAATTTGAGCACCAGGGATAGGCCCATAGCATCCCTCCTCTGGTTTGAACATTGTCCTGTCTTGTTGTCCAGATTCTTCCCCTCCAGGACCTTTGTGTTCAAGGTCATCAGCAATCACAGATTTTGGCACTGAGCATAGTGTGCTGCCTCTTCCATCCAAGTGGGTGGACCCAGAAGTTCCTTTACAAGCATTTGCTATCATGCTTCAGTAGGCTTTTTCCCTCTATAAAGCAGCAGCTCCTAGTCAAATCCAAAAGATTGAGGACATTTTATCTGTCTCAACCAAAGAGAAGGGTTCTCATCAGGTTCTCTGCTTCTAGCATAGAAAAATCAGAGTTATAAAGGACAGTGACTTTTGTGCTTCAGATTACATTCCTGGAGCTGAGCAGCTGCCACAGAAAATGGCTCTGCCCAAGACAGGATGCTATTAATAACATTTCCTTTCCAATGTGGGATAAGCCCAAATTTTCTTTAGTGCTTTACAGCTTTGAAGTTTGCCCATGGAGAAAATTTACCTAGCTCATATGCCTTTGCACTTGAGTTTTATCCCTGGGGAAATCTAGCCAGATGATGTTCATCAAGCAAGAGACTCCTTTACACAAAACAGCTGAGACTGTGGCCCAGACAAGTGGGAAAATATTAAGCCCACACAGAAGGGTGGAGACATTCAGCTCTGCCTGTGCAGTGATTTCAAAGGACACTAGCATCTGCAGCCAGTGCATTCAGACTTCATCCTGGGAACCAAATAGACACATCTAAATTTGACAACCACATTCAGTCACACCTCATGGAAAGGATCAGAGCTACCATTCCCATCACTGAATGACCTGCTTGAAGATCCACCTGGGGCAGCTCATGAAGACAGAGGTTGCAGTAGGGTGATAAAAAGGGTTTGATCCTTCTAGCACATTTGCTATGGCCACAGAAAAGAAAAGAACTAATGAAATCCTCATAGATCATCTGCAAGCATTCATCTCAGCTGCTCCAGAGAGTTGAGTGAGAGCACTTGCTCCAGATGCCATTTCAGACTGAAGTCTCCTCTGGCTACTAGTGTTGAAATACATTCGCTAATCAGCCACTAGCTTATGAGCCACTTTGAAAGAAACAAGGAAAGAGAAGCTAAAAAGAGACAGCCTTGCCCTCATTTTGAAGGTGGTGGTAATTTCTGTCTTATTCTGACATAACTTGCTTGGTCAGCAACTGACTTCACTTTTTAGTTGGTGGTATTACATTCCTTCAGCAATTTTCAGTGACCCACACAGCTACGAGAAAAATATTAAAGCACTTATCCCTGTTTTGCTTTGCTGCTTTATTGGGATTACAGATAGATCTCTGGTCAAGGAAAAGGGCATTGTTTGTTTGTTTATTTTCTACTAGAGAAGTCAGCTGTCAGCCACTCTGCTATATCAAAAGAGCTAGTCAGGTGTTATTACAAGGTATTAAAATGCTGCAGAATTTAAAATGAGGAAGTACTTCTGTCCAGTTCTTTAAAATATATATATATATATATACACACTTTTTTTTAAATTATTATATATATATATATATACGCACACTTTTTTTTTTTTTTTTTTTAAAGGAATTAGAATATAGTTAACTGCAATATGAAATGAACATTTAGGAAGACAACAATTCAAGTGGAAGAATGAACGCCCTACTCATCTCTAGGAAACATATGAGCAGAAGTCAGTATGACAGCAATGGAACATTTAAAATAGATGGATTTATAATCTATCTCTAAGTCCTTCCAGAAGAGAAGGGGAAAAGTGCAAATATTCTACATTTTCATGGGCCACTTTTTATTTTTGGATTTCAAGGAATAAAAAGTGCATCTGTCTTGGGCATGGCTCCGAAGGCAACAAGGGATAGATGCATGGAACTAAGCGCATAGCTAGCATAGACACGGAGAGATGCAGGTTTATCTTCAGGTAGGACAAGATGAGCATAGGGAAGTGCTCCTGAAAGAATAATTGTTCACATCTTCCTTCAAATGCTTTCCAGTTTATTAGCATGAAAGCATCACAACGGGTCTCAGCAGTTTGCCTGCAAAGAGGCACTTGGGAAAATTAATCAGAATTAATTCATTTTATTTGATTTCAAAGGGGTAAATCAATTTGTGCTGCCTCATGCTGTGGATGCACACTTCTTCTAAACTAGGGCTTTCAACATAGTTTGAGATCCTTTATTCCAAAATAAGCTAAGCTGAACTAACTGCGCTTTAATTGGAGCAGGAGTTGACTGGGTGCGTAATGGGAAGGGGACAGGAAGAAAAGTAAAATAATGTATTGAATGATAGCCCCCTGGGCACAATCAGCCTTTTCTGAGTGCTGCGCTTTAGAAAAGTGTAAGTAAATAAATAGTGAGTAAATAGTGATTAATCTTTCAGTGCCCTGCTCTACAGATTGAGTGGAGGTGGAAGCTGCCTTCACCCCTTCCTTGCCACAGGAACCACAGGAGATCCAGCATGAAGAAGATCAAAGGTTGGGGCAGATGAAAGGAAGGCATTATGCCCCCTGCTTAGTACTAGTAAGAATGGACCTGAAAATTCTGTCCAGCCTGTTTGTCTCAGTTCGACAGAGATGTGAAGGAATAAAAGGAGTTCTGAGGAGAGATGTGAAGGTGATCAGGGTTGGGAATGAATGTGCTGCAAAGAGTCTGCTGGATCTAGGTCCCTCCCTCATTTATCCAGCATAGGAATGGAATTTTGAAAAGTTTTTCTACCTGTTATTCTGTGTGCTCTCATGCCTCAATAATGGCCACAGCCACACAGCCTTCTCTACCTACCCACAGTGGTATTTCCACCTTCATTTCAAGCTGAAGTTCAGGAAGTGTTTGGACAACGTTCTCAGAAATACGGTTTGATTTTTGGGTAGTCCTGTGTGGAGCCAGCAATTGGACTCAGTGATCTCTGTGGATCCATTCCAATTCAGGATATTCTATGATTCTTTGTGTCTTCTCATTCAGAGCCATGCCACCAAGACCATTTTGGTCCTTCCTCCAGCTCCATTCAGGTGCAACCAGTTCTAGAACTGGACCCTCCACTCAGGTTTACCTTCCAGGTCCTTGGTCATGGGTGGATGCACTCTCACCTTCACTGCTCCAAGCCACAGCTTCCATACAACTCCAGAATCACCAGTAAGCACAGGGGACATCAGTTAAATTTCCCTAATGTGGGTGAACCTCAGAGGAAAATTAGGAGCTGTGAGTCAAGGAGATTAAATTCTATATACTAGAAGGTTTCATTTTTAAAAATAAAAATAAAAAATCTAATTGCAACATGATTTAAATTTATGGAAATGTTAAAAAATTCATGAAATCATTTTAGCCCTCATTAGAGGAATATATTTATGTCCCTCTATTTGAACTTTCTCTTTATCAGGAGACATTTCCTTGCCTTTGAAGGAAACTGAACTTTCCCCAGTTATTTGCCTAGTTGGAGGAGTTATTCAAACATTCTCTACTACAAAATTGAAACAAAAAGCAGTGAATATTTATAAGCAGCCATTGGCTAGAATTTTCTGGGCTGAGACACTTCTGATGTTGTTTTTCTTCGCCACGTTCCTCTCTACTCAGCTAATGCAAAAGAAGCATTGGGAATGAAAGTGACACAGGTTACCAGCTCAGCTCATCAATATCAGTGCTGGCAATCTGTCCCTTGCCCTCTGGAGAAGAGGACCTGGAAAGAGACTGTGTGATAAGACTGCAAGGCCTATGTCAAAGATTTGCCTTGGTCAGGCTGTGTGTTTTGCCCAAGTCCATCTAATCGCCTTGTCTTAGTGCTATAGACTTTCATTTTGTAACAGAAACAGATAGCAGCAATACACCTGGCTGGGAAGGTGAACTAAACCAAAGGGAGATGGAAGAAGCAATACCAGCACCTCTCTTAGCTCTATGCTTTATTAAGAGGTCAACTATTAAAGAGATGTCCTTAGGGCACATGTTTTGCCATCCATGGCAGGCTTTGCAGCAGCCCGTGAATACCTGGTGTAAGTCTGAATACCTGTAGATTAACCTCTACTCTGTGGGATCTGCAGACGTGTGTGTGTGGTAAGACATGTCAACATGTGTGCATGTGCACGTGTGACTGCTAGACAAGCAGGGAAGGCCAGGATCGTGCACATCTGGAGTTGCATGCTCCCCTTGAGCCATTCACAAGTTTTACCATGCCTATAGACTACCTTTCGTTAATTATGGCTACGGGATTGAGACCTTTCTGAGAAGAGTGACCCGCTCGCACACGTGCAGGGGAACATGCCTCCACTTACTATTGCACGCCTTCCTATTGCACAGACGTCCTTCCTCCAGGACTCCCTCGCAGGCCAGGCCTTCATTGGGAAGGGGCTTACAGGTACGCATGCGGGTCTGCAGGCCTCCCCCGCAGTCCTTGGTGCAGTCGCCCCAAGCCGACCACGTGTTCCAACCACCTGGGCAAAATCCAGAAAATCCCTGTCAGCTTCAGTGTCGTGGTAGACAAAGCCAGACCTACACACCCTATGATGCACCTACTTCCAAGGCCTCAAAGCAAGATGTCTTAGGATATGATAGGCAGACCACACAGAGAGACAAAATATGGGAGAGGAAGGAAGAGGGATTTACTTGTCAGTGACTTCTCTTCAACTATCCTCTACCTTTAAACAGGGACTTTGGTCTTTGCCCTCCTGGATATTCTGCCCCTTTCCTAACTAGTCCAGCTCTTGCTCTTAGCTCTCCATTTTGCTGCCTTTAGGACCCTATACTCAGAAGACAGTTGAGAAAACCATTCATCCATCACATACATCATTAGTGAGGCTTCTTCAGTCTTTGTGAATTCTCCTACATTGTGCTCATTGTACAGAATAGGGTCTCATGAGACCCTTACACTTCAATTTTTTAATGAAAATTAGTTTAATTTCATCATCTAATCCAGCTTTACATAGTGCCTGGGAACATCTTTCCATTTGCTTGGGTGGACTTTGAAAAATTTCCTCCTTCCTCTTGCAGTTTTATTCCTCCTCCCAAAACAGCCACGCTCAAATTTTTGCTCTGAAGACAAAGTGAGAATAAACATATGCATCCTTCACAGTGTTAAGTGAAGTGGTATAAATATTCAGTAATGAGAATAACATGGGAAAATAGATCAGGATGGAAACACAGGTTGTAAACCTTCTGACAAGTGGCTCAGACATCCTGGAAGCAGTGGGAAGTATAGGTTGTTATTAGCACACAATAAATATTTGTTCTTCAAGGAGATGGTCTTTGCCTTGAAAGTCACTTTTTCTCTGCTGGTTCCCTTTCTAAACAGTGTGGGGAATAGGCTTGTCTCTCCTGTTCCCTAACAGGAGATAGATTGTGTTTCAGCTGTAAGAGAGGCCAATGGCATAATGGCAGGCATCCTGATGCCTTAGTTGAGCTGATCAATAGGACATCTGTAACCAGACACATTTAAAAGCTAATAAGCTCTTTGCTTGCCCTTTTAAGATATCTTTCTTTCCTTTCCCTTAAAGATTAGGAGTGGGGCTGGAGAATGGAGAGTGCAGCTGCACATAATCTTCAGCTAGTTTTTATCTTCTTGGGGTGCTTTTTGCAACAAAATGTAAGTGCTCCAGTGTGTTATTTTATTCAGTATTTGTACGCAAAACAAAAACTAGTTATCCAAACTTCTTGTTTGTCATGAAGGAATATTCAAACAAGCATGCATTTCAGGATGTAATCTGTTATGAAGGCATTTAATCCCTAAAAATATACAGAAAAACATACTGCCTAGTCTCAGTAAAGGAAAGAGGACTACAGTGCAGACACCTGTCTTTGGCTTGTTCATAGTTTGCTTATCAGCAGTAAGGGTCGGTATAAGACAAAAAACACCATGATTTCAAAGCTTTAACCAGAATGAGATCTCTTTATGAGGCTAGGTAACTTCCTCTCCTCATTCCTCAGTTTTCATCCCATTTGTGAGTACTAAAGAGAAGCTGGAGTAGAAGTACCAGTGCACTTACTAAATCAGCAAAGGCATTTACAACCAAGACTAAGGTATTCCCCACTTTATGGTGTAGTCCTTTTTTATCAGCAGGTTGTCCCATGGTCCTGACAAATGAAATACTGCATGTTATTTATCCTGTTTATTGGCTGTCAGATAAACTTTTTGAAATCTTCCTTTTTTTCCTGGGTCTAGTCATTTGTTGTTTCAAGTGATTTGTCTTTTTTAGTGGTGCTGTAAAGAAGCAGTTAAGGGCCTATTACATGAAGTTATACCCATCCCATTTCAAGGAAGAAAAAGAAGTGCTGTGTCATGAGTAAAACATTCAGTTCTTCTGTTTGCTATGTGAATGAATCTGGAATGGATAATGGCAAGTGAATGAGCAACCATAGCTGTGGAATGGCTGAACTGCAGCAACAAAGAAATGAATCACTGAATCATTTAGGCTGCAAAAGGCCACTAAGATCATCCAGTAAGTCATCAAACCATTCCCACCATGCCCACTAAACCAAGTCCCTCAGTGCTTCATCTACACATTTCTTGAAAACCTCCAGGGACGATGACTCCACCCCCTCTTTGGGCAGCCTGTTTCAGTTCATTACCACTCTTCAACCTTACATTTTTCTATAAAAGAACCTTGAGATTGTTTGGAGATTCAAGCGGTGGAGCACAACTGCCTTACACCCTTTACCTTACACTCGTGACGTCTCTATTAAGGAAGTTCATCCTCTTCAATTAGCACAATTTTCAGGAGGGACACACACTGAGAAGTTGAGGGAGGAAGGAGACAAATGCTCTGGGTCCTCTGCAGATGTCACAGAGGAGAAGTATGCACAGTTTTGTCCCTGCAGTAGTTGCCTACATGTTCAGTTGCTAAGTTCAAGAATGACTCACTAAGCTGCAACCAAAGGAATGTCCCTTCATGGACTTTCCTTCTCCTAAGACATATAACCTGGTTTTCACAAAACTTCCTTGTTCTAGTGCTTTTTATATATCAAGCATGAGTTTGGAGGAGACCTCACTGATGCCAAAAAGCAAGTAAGAGGTGAAACACAATACAGAATCCCAGAGAAGCTAATGGGACATTTTGCAGATAGTCCCCTTTGCCTCTGGAGTCCTGTTTCATCAGCTTTCAATGAACTGCTGCACCCTGCTGATCGATGTGGCTTGAATTGCCATCTGTCCTTAATCCAAAAATAATGAGTCTGCTGCAACTGCTTTATGAAGGATTTTGCTTTTCAACGGCATTGACTCCTGTGAAGGTCATATACCCAACCAGTTTCTATTTAGCAAAGTTTTGCTCAGCTGCAGTCTTGCAGGCCTGTAGACCTTTCTCATTCTGCACTTCCGCTCTTTTTAGCTGGAGTAAGCTGTGGCTTGCATTTCTAGTTCCAGAGTTTCCTACCACAATCAGGAGCCATAACTTCAATCCTATAGCAAGGTCTGGCTTTTATTTTTCATTTACGAGAGCAGAGCCAGCCCCTCATACGAGTTTCATGAAGCCAGCTGTTGCATATGAAGTTGAAGCTCATGAGACTGTTTCGAGTGCTCTGGAGACTGCCATTCAGGGAGGCCTTTAATCCAATTTCTAAAGAGCTTTTTGATCCTTCTCAGTCAGTTCTTATCATGATCACGTACTAAAACAAATTACTTTTCACGCTAGGCTGACCCAATGCATTCTAATTCTCCACAGTTAAATAGAGAAACTTTCAAGATGGTCAGACTCAACTTTTAAGCTCATATTTTATATTTCTTGTTCTGAATTTTAAGTGGAGATGCCAAAATAATAGGTCTTTCCTACTGCAAAATAACAGACTGCTTCACTTAGAAGCCTCATCCAAACACCCTTGATCTTTGAGAAGATTTGCATCCCAATCTAGAGTTTATCTTTGCAGCTGACAGCTGTGATGTGTCTCAGACACCAGTCAGTCAATCATGCCTTTTAATTTAACAGCAATGCCTTAAACTAGATGCCAGGGACAACGGAAAAAAAAAAAAAAACACAACAAACAAACAAACAAAAAAAACAACTAAGGAATCAACACAAGCCAATTAATAGAGCACAGGAAAAAGGTCTTTGCTGACACACTACATCTATCTCTGAATTTTTTTTTTCTTCTTTAATTTAACCTCCAACATGACTCCAGCTGCAGATACTTTTGATTGGCAGCTCTCTCTTGTACTCCACAGTCCAGGACTGTGATATCTGAAACAACATTCTGAGATTACATAAAACCATCACAGTTCTGCATGCAACATCTGTAAATACTTTTAGTGGACTTCTCATCACAGTATCCAAAGGCTTGGGAATCATCACCAGTTTGTGGCTGAGTGAAAAAAAAATACTATTTCTTATGAAAATGAAGAGGAAAAGATGTTAAAAGAAGATTAAGAGTGAGATTGTTTTATATGTGAAAGTTAGGTATCTTATCTAAACTTCTTATACAATGGGGAAAGTCTATAGGGGTTTATAGCTACCTTCTCTTTTATGTCAGGAAGAAAACAAATCCAGAAGGGACTATTCTGAAGACAGTTTTCTATTATACAAAGCAGAAATCTTTCCCTAGAGAGCCATGCTTTCAATTTGATACTTCTGTGCAAGCCAGGAAATAACACTTTCAGGAAGATGCCCCTTCTGATGCCCCACGTGATGAGGCCACATAGCAGCGCAAGTGAGTTGCTCAAGTGGTTCATTCTCTTCCCTTTCAACAATAAACCCAATATAATATGTAACACTTTCACAGACTGTGAGCACTGATATCATAATTAACCACCCGAAGTCCCAAAAAAGCAAAATCATTCATTCTAGCACTTCTCTACAACCTTCCTCTTTCAAATCCTAAAGCTTTGGGAACAGTGTAAAAGCACAAACTCCCTTCCATTTAATGATCTAGTGAGGAAAGAAAAAGAACAGCAATGAGGGTGAAGGCAGGTGCCCCTGTCAACAGTCTGCACTGTGTATCATGAGGTGTAGTCCAAGGTAGTCTAAGTGTCAATTTAACAAACATAAAGAATTACAGAATAGAATCAGAATTACTAAGGTTGGAAAAGACCACTGGATTATCTAATCAAAGCACTGACCCATCGCCACCATGCCTTCTAAACCATGTCCCTCAGTGTTAGATCCCCACGTTTCTCAAACACACTGGGACAGTGACTCCACTATTTCCATGGGCAGCCTATGCCTATGCCTTGCCACTCATTGTGAGAATAGTTTTTTCCTAATATTATTACCTAATTTCTTATTACGCTATTCCTAATATCATATCACATCACCCAGTACAGTGAAGCACAACAGGCAGAGGCACCCTGGTAATCTACTGGTTGAAATCAGACCACAAGGAATGGGAATTGCACGGAGTGTAGGCCCCAAGGGGAAGAATTCATTTCTGGTGTGAAACCAAACAAAGTGAATCATCACTCACTAAGACACTCATAGGAATGCCATGCAAACCAATTGAGTTCATTGCC